TTGGACTCCAATCACCCATGAGGGATCTTTATCTCTCTTTACCTATTTTGGCTGTCTATCTCCTCTCCTCTCTCTCTCTCTCTGTGTCTCTCTCACATGCTCCCGAATCACACACACTTACAAACATGAAATAACATTTAATATAGTCACTGTTTTGTTAACAACACAGTTTTGAATACACTTCTTCTGTATCTGATCTTTTTTCCCTACTCTATTCACCTTTATTTCCTATCCCTCCCCACAGCCATCTTGCCCAGCTAGCCACTCCCAGCTCTGACCTCACAGTCAGCCAGCTCTGGCAGGTGTCATGGCCTCTGCCTGAGACATGGCCAAACACAGTTCTCCCAGCAGTGTCCATACACTGACTCTGTGCTAGAGTCCTAAGATTCAGATCATGGCACTTTTTACATAACCAGCCTTAGCTTACTGCCTTGTTAAGTACTTATGTTCCCTTTCTCTCTCTTATTAACATTAACATGTCTTTAAGAGCTAGACACTAAGATCCATTTGTCACAGCAAGTATGTATGGCAATGCAGGATACTGTAACCTTATGTAAAGGCACAAAGACTTGGAGAAATTGAAAGAAGCTCAGTTTATAGAGTGTGAGGCTAGTATGGGAAGACTTAATAAAAGCTGAGGCCATTGTGTGGTTGCTTTGTTATAAGTCTGGGATGTCACTGGATGGAATTAGGCTCTTCTTAAGATAATGTAGCGCTACTGGACCAGACTGGTAGTAATCTCATCATCCCTGGGTGATACTGTTGGTTTACGTATCTATTTTCCTCTAGTTATTCCTCTCCCTGTTTCTCCTCCCCCTTTCCTTCTTTAGCTTATCATAACTCATATTCCCATAAACCCATACACACACACACACAGTGGCTTGTAATATATTCATTTCTTTAACAAATTTATTCACATTAATCTACTCTATCTAATCCTTTGGCCCTACTCTATTCACCTTCATTTCCTATACCTCCCCACAGCCATCTTGCCCAGCCAGACACTCCCAGCTCTAACTTCACAGTCAGCTAGCTCAAGCAGCTGTCATTGTCTCCACCTCAGACCTGGTCAAACCCTCCTCTCCAAGGGGTGGTCGTTGTCTCAGTTCCTCCGAGAATCCTTGGTGACACATCATGGCTGCTTTTAAATATTCTGATATAGGTTGCTGTATGGGTTTGTTATTTTGTGTTCCTAAACTCCACTATAAACATAAATCTTTTGGGAACTAAAAACTAAGTTCCTTATGCCCCAGCAAGCACATAGGGTGATGCAGGGAACCATAATCTGGTGTAAAGGCACAAATGCTTGGAGAAATAGAAAGATCAGTGTGTCCAGAGTGTGGAGGCAAGGGCTGAATATTTACTGTAAGCTGAGGACATAAAGGCGAATGCTTCTATTATATATAGGATATAAGTGTATAGAACTCAGAGCAATCCTCAGGTCACATAGTGGCCAATGCAGGAGGCTGTTGGGCTCTGATTACCCATGAGGGATCTATATATCTTTCTGTTTATTTCTATCTCTTTTCTCTCTCTCTCTTTCTCTCTAAGTCTTTATCTAACTGCCTCTTCCTCACATACAGATACAAAGTCACATTTAATATAGCCACTATTTCATTAACACATGAGTTTAGAATAATTTACTGTATCTGACCCTTTTTCCCTACTCTATTCACCTTCATTTCCTATACTTTCCAAGCAGCCATCTTGCCCAGCTAGCCACTCCCAGCCCTGACCTCACAATCAGCCATCTCTGGCCAGTGTCATAGCCTCTGCCTTAGACCTGGCCTTATCTCCCTCTCCGCGCATGTCCCCCTTCTACGTTCCTCCTAAACTCCTAGGTCTCTCAGCATGGCTTTTTTTTTTTTTTTTTTTTTTTTGCCTTTCAATGTTTGTTGTGCCCCTTTGTAGTTGCATTCCCCTTAATCAACTATGATCATAGAGCATTTTCAAGCAGCAAACGTAGCTCCATCACACCTAGCATCATATATTTTTTTCTTAGCCTTGAAAGCCTATTGGTTTTCTTTTAGAAAATGGCCAATCAAGGTTCCCAAATACATGTACTTGTAACTTAGAAAGCTTCTATTTTTTTTGTTGTTGTTGTTCACTAAGTTTCAAGTATGAAGCGCAAAATGTGGAACATAAAATCTTCAACATATACAGCCCTAATAGCAGGAATTTTTTTCCTGTTCACTACTACTTTATGGCCCATCCTGACACTGCAGTTTCTAGTTAAGCCATTGAAACCGTGTTTCTGAGGTCATTGCTTCTGCTTATCACAGTTTGAAACACAGAGTAGATACTCAATACCTTTTTGTGAACGGTGAATTAGAAATGGTGCTGATGCAGTTCTGCTACTGAACTTTGTTTTCTGTGATGGCTAAGCAAATGTTACCAGTTTACTTGCACACACAGGGCTAAAGTCTTTGTACAACTTCTACAAACATTTTCTGCTCCTAACTACTCATGTTTCAAGAGATAGAAATGTCAAGTGTAAACAGAGGAAAGATGAAACAGCTGGCTTGGTAAACACTCTGGTAGGATAATCCCATTTCCCTACACTAAAAAGACGAATGCGTGCTTAGTGAAGTCAAATGTGGACCCCCTCCCCCTCTAGAGACAACAGGGCTGTGCCTCCTCAGCCGCCCACCAAAGTCTCTCTAGGCACTCTTTCTTCCCATTCCTAGGGCCAGGGCTCAGTCTTGACTCTCCCGATAGGAAGCACAGGGCTCTTTAGGTGAACAACAGAACTTTACCAACAACTGAAACCCAGAGATATCGGATCATCATTGTGAGGGTTTCAAACTATGGCAAAGCTAGCAGGAGTTGGGAAACACTAAAGAAACACACACGGACTCTCTAGGGAACAGCAGAGTCAGCTACAGTCTTCCCTTCACCTTGGAGCTCAATTGGTTCCTTCTCATTCAGACCCGATGTCATCCTGAGTCACTAAAAGAAACACTCCTCAGTGTGGCACATCTCTGGAGGCTAACTTTAGCCAGCATCTGTTAGTCATCACTAGACTCACAGGCTTAAGGCCAGTACCATTCACACTTCTCTCTGTCCTGCAGCAGACGGACGCAGTTCCTCCAGTCTCTCTACTCTTCCCCCTCCCCCTCACAAAACCCCTCTCTGAGGGAGGAAGAGCTATAGCTTTGGGGATGATATAGCTTTAAGGAAACTTTTGGCAGATGCAGGCGTCCTAACATCTGGGCAGTGTTAACAGAATCCCAGAGGCTGGGACAGCTCAGGAACTACTCGTAAGAATGTTAAAGTAGAAGTGATATTTTTTTTCTCTGACTGATGAGAGGAGCAGAGGAAGAAAAAAAAAGAGGAAGAGAAAGAAAAAAGAACTCACGGAAACATAAAAACGGTAAGAGCTGTAATTACCTCCTTCATGCTATAGCACCCCATTTGCTGGATACGGAGGGGATAAGACACCTGGGATTTTGGCAACATCTCTGGAGGTAGGATGGGGAGAAATTCTTTGTTGAAATGGAATGATATGCTGCTTGTCTGTGCCGTAACCTGGCTGCAGAGGGTACAGTTTGAGAGCAGAGGGAACTCCAACTCCAGCAATTCCAGTTTCCAGGTTGAGAGGAGGGAAGAGGTGGCTGGTAGGAGGTCACCGACCCTCGGTGTCACATCAGAAAAGGGCAGACCCCTGCACAGGACACCACAGCAACTGGAGCAGGGCCAGAGGCAGGAGGGGCCAGCCTTTAGTGCCATAGCTCTTCATTTGCCTACATATCCCTATAAACCCCTTTTTCCTTTCTTTTGTTGCCTCTTTCTGTTTTTTTCTATTTCATTCCTTCTACAGTGTCATATTCTCTTTTCTTTCTAGCATCCTTGCAACATCTTTCCACTTTCCTTGACTCCCTCACTTCCTTTTACTTCACTACTCTGCTTGCTTGCTCTCTACATAGAATCTGGAGCCAAGTAACAATGAATTGCAGGATAAATTTTTGCCTTTCTTGAACTTTACATGTCCCTTAGGGATTGGCCAGAATTTGTCACCTTTGTGTTCCTCCATTTCTGGGACAACGATCTATTCCAAGTATGGTATTTAGTTGAAAACACATACATAAATAAGTGATGGCTGAAACACCCTGGGGCAGGTCTATGCCAATAGGCATCAAGTTGTAGCACTGTACTTACTTTGTGAATTATTCGCCCACTGAGAACCGCAGAACTCTCATAGAGTGGGGACAGGGAAGGAAGTGAGATGGGAACCAGGGCCTGTTCACTCTCTCCTCATGGACCTCAGTGGGCACTCCCTAACCTCACTGACTTCCTGCTGGCTCAGCAGGGTAAAACTAGAAAGTTAGACTAAACCTGAATACCACAAGCCACCACCACAGCACTAAGTCTCAAATCTGAAAGCTAAGAATAGACTAGAGTTTACTGTCTGGGACACTAGGGAAAGGAAATATCCAGTCCTTTCCATTGTAAAGTTGGTGGTAACAATGTCCAGTATATGGTGATAGCTAGATACATTGTTTCCCTGTGGGCCAAGCAATGATCGATTGTGTAAGATATATATTTCTATTATTCACATTTCATACATGAAGAAATTGAGACTCAAAGAAATTATGGAATTTAACCAAGGTCTGGTAGCTAATGGGTGACAAAATTGGAATCACATCCAGAGCTATGTAACTTTAGAGATTAAGCTTTCAGACCATATGCTCTAATACTTCTCCTTATAAGTGCTTAGGGAATATAATTGATTGGACAAAGCCATGCATTGGCATCTTTTGATTTCCAGGTTCTCTCTTAAGTCTATGTGACTTTATATTGGTATTTTCCTAGTTCGGGTACCCCATTGTCCCTGTCTGTAACTTGAACTATTAGACATTCGCATCTGATTCCCAGTTGAAACAGCTGAAGATTGCTTCATGTCTTCTTTCTTTTTCCTTGGTGGAAAAGACACTACTGTAGAAAATGTTTCTAGGGGCAGTTTGAGATATAACATTATCAAACCTTTCTTCTCCCTCCTCACAGATCCAATAAGTGTGCTCCATATCACTTTTGGAAGGTCACTCATGGTTGACTTCTGAAAGTCACCTTCTTGGTACTGCCCTGGTCCCCAGCACAAGCCTATCTTCCCTTCTCCCCCAACTCCACTTTTCAAGGATGACTGGTCAATTAACACAGAGAGGAGCTCTCTGTCTGCTGCTCTTCCTAACTCCAGCAGTGATGCCAACATGGCATGCAGGTAAGTTCCAGCATTTGCTGTCCTTCCTTCTAGAGAGGGCAATCCTAGATCAAGACTTAGAGGGTGGAAGGTTTAGACCACAAGGAGAGATGTTATTGTAGATACAATCATTAATGGACAACTTGGGTGGCTAAACATTGCAAGAGGCTACTGAGAAAAGCTTTTGAGTCCCTCCTACCTAGAGCTATCTGAAAATATGTTACACTAGCACAAATGTGCAGAAGTTAGTTTTGAGGCTCCTATGTGCTTTTGCATCTAGCTTTCGAAAACAAATTTTTTAAAATATTAACTACTTCATGAGTCAATCATTATTAATGCTAAGTTTTTTCTGAGTTATATACTCTTGTGAAGACTCCAAAAATAGGACTTAAACCACATATCTTAATTGAAAAAAAGGAAGGAGAACAGGCCAGGCAATCTATTCTAAGAAGTCAAGAATCAATGAAACCTCCCTTTCTCTCTCCTCTCCATTTCAGATCTTGTTTATAACAGGAAATTCTCATAATCCCTTTTTGCCAAGGCTGTTAATGCTAATACAGATGACATTCACTTTATAAGGAATTCCCTAGTTTCTTTGGGTTTGCTTCTCACTTCAGAAGAAATGGAGGTTTCTGGATTCCTGAACATTTCACCCTTCACCCCTGGAGATAGGGAGCCGAAAAGAACAGACGCAATGAGAGGAGGTGAGAGGAGGCAGAATGAGGGAAGGATAATGAACTGACGTAAAGAGGTTTCTTTGATGAGACCCAGCTGGCATTCCAACTGCTAAGAATATTCTGTGGCCTGTAGTGTCTGCCTTCCCAGGGGCTTCAGGGAGTGGGGAAATGAGACAGAGCCGACCAATGGGGTTAGGAAAATATCCAGGGATGAGTAAATAACAAAGTGCTCACATCACAGCCGCAGTCACTTCAGCTAAAATTTTCCACATGCCCTTAGCTCTTGGTAGAGGCCTTTGGCAGTAGTGGTGTTTGTCTGTAACAGCTGCATCAAGTATGCAAACTTATCCCCTCTTTGGCTTAATCTGGCTTTGTAGGGGGTGAGGCACAAGGGCAGACATTGAGATGAAGGAATTCAAGTCAAACCTTTGGCAGAGTAAAAATTGCTTGGGGTCAATGAAGCCCCAAGTCTCCAAGAGACAAATATGCAGCTGTCCTACCCAACCCCTGACTAACTGCAGTGTGAGGATGGAAGCCTAAAATCCAGCCAAAGACCACAGGGCTAAAGGAGTAGGGATTAGATGGCTCAAAGCCCAATCTGAGCACCTGTGCAAAACCTCCTGGCATGCAAAAGCCTTTGCCTTTCCCCAGGTGGAAGCCTGGGCTTTTGGGAGTCCTGAAGACAGGACTGTTTTGTAAAGCTTAGGTTCGCTTGAAGCTCTCAAAGGGCTGTTTGCAAAACTTGCCCTCCCCATTTTCACATGCATCTCCTGGAACATCACTCTTTCTGATAAAGTCATATTGGGGAGGTCTCTGATAGTCCTGCAAATGCAGCCATTCTGGCTTCTTGTAGTCGGTAGGAAGCTATGTGGTGAGACTTGGAGTCCTATAATCCTCCTCTACATTGCTAACTCAGCCGCTGGGCTTGCCTCCACTTATTCATTCATCTGTTCATTGCACATATATTTACTAAGCACTCTTTATGCATTTAGGACTGTTTTGTTCACTTTTTTTTTAACTTTGTCATCAGTGGGTGTGGTACAAGGAAAAAAGCCAAGTGTGAATTCAGAGTGAAGGGATCTGGGAATAATCAGCAGGGGCTAGGAAAACTGAAGAATGTAAACAAAGCAGAGAGTGGGGTGAGAGTGTGTGTTAGCGTATCTGCACAGTTCAGGAAGTCAAATTTGGCATTCCTCAATGTAAACCAAGCATTAATATCTTCCATTATCGATTCCATTTCCATCTATACCTCAATGAAAGACCATGCTTAGAGGGTTTGTAGGCACTACAGAAGTTGGAGGAACCCATTGACCACCCACAGAGTAGCTAATTGGTCCAAAGGAGCTAAGACAAGCTACTCAAGCCCCTCCATACTAGAACTGAACAGAGACAAACTGATAAAACAATATAGTGAGTGCTCTCTCTCCTTGCTTCATTCTTAGGCTCCATCTAGTATCCCAACATGTGCAAAAAAATACTCCAAGGCAGGCTGGAGTGGGTGATGGAAAGGTTTATCATGTTGAGGTGGCCCAAGGCCATTCCCAGCTCAGAACAAACTTGGCACTGGTCTGGCTTCCTCCACTCTAGTGGAGACTGTAATTATGTCATTGAGTCTTCGTCTCAGTTTTCCCACATCCCCTGTAATTCTGGAATGACATAAAATGCATGGGGGCCTTCAATCCCCCCACCACACACACGCTACAAAAAAGCTGGATTTCAAGCGAGATTTTGGTTTTGATCTCTGCTGGACATCGTCAAAAATGCTCTTTAGCTTCAATCATTTGTAGGGTGTCTGGGTTCGGTATCTCAGGGTCTGATAGATCTGGACCAGGAGACCTCCGGCAACTCCCTCCATTGCTCTGGGGCTGCCTTTTCCTGTATACGCTGACTGCTACCAGGCTGGGCCAGGAAAGTACTTGTACTATGCTTAACAGAGTAGTAGCTAAGGGATGTTGGTAGTCATTGTTATAGGTGTTAAAGTTACTCAGCCCTGTTTCCCTGACACTCCTGTTTTCTCTTTCTGGCAAAAGGTTGTTCGCTGCCTGCTGAGCATTTCTTCACAAGCTAGACCTGTAACAAATGTGTGTGTGTTGGGGTTGCGGGGAGGTAATCCTCCAGGGAATCACACATGCCTGGCCTCCTGTTTCCAGGCGCTGTAAAGCTTTAAGGCTAATGCTGAATTGAACCAGCTGACAATAATCCCATGCCCCACCCCACCCCCCAAGAAATCTCCCACGTGGGCAAAGAAAAAGCAAGGGAGCTAAGGCCTAAGGAGGAATTCAGAGAAGGCCAAGAACTGAAATGGGAAAACAGAATAACATCAACAGAAAAGCAAAGACAGGAGAAAGAAAAATGAACTCTTCCCTCTGGAATGAAGGCAAACCATTGAGGACATGATTTCATAAGGCAAGCTTTCCATTTGATTCATGCTCTTGTTCACCAAGTTGGACTGGTTTCCTAACACCACCACCTCCTTCACCCCCCAGCCTGGGCTTGTGGGGAGTGGAGGAGCTTCATCATCTTGGCTTCTGCTCCACCCTTTGAGCACAGAAGCCCTGTGCCTCCTCCCTGGGAAAGAGAAGGGAAGCTTGTAGTCTGAGTGTTTACACAGGCCCAAGGGCTCAGGCACTCAATCCCAGCCCTCTCCTAGAAATGGAGAATTAGCTCCAGCCTCCAGCATGGCTTCCTGCCCTATTCCTGTGCATGCACCAACGTTCAGGAGCGCTGGAAGGAGGGCTCCCGGAAACTCTACTCCGGAAAGGATGAAGTTGTTTTCCACTTTGTTTCTATTCATGACTGATTTCCTGCAGTCTGGGGCTACATAGTGTTTAGTCTCCCAGACAGCTGCAGACCTACCTCCACCAGGGACTAGAGGTAGAGCAGGACTGTTCCATAGCTCAGCAGCTGTCTGCTACAGTTTCTGCTGATGAGAGGAATGGGAAATATATCCAAGGCACTCTACCCTCTCTTGAAGCCAAAACAAAGAGGTGAGGAAACTGTTCCTAATCCCCTTGCCTTTTGAGCCATCCTTCTCTGTTTTGGCATGCTACTCTGCAGCAATGGCAATTGGGCAGCAAAAGGACTGTGGACTACAGGCACCTGGAGTTCTGGCTTCTCTCTGAGAACCATGAACAGGCATGTCACGAGGGACAACACTCCTGGGCTGTGTTTGTTTGTTTGCTTCCTGCCATGTAGGACAACAGTCCATCCTCCAGGTTTAAATCATTAGTCTCTCACCAAGACTCATGTGTTGCATCAAGGAAATGAGTCAGTTATAATCTAGATTGGATGAATGGTCAAAAATTCAATTTTTGTTTTTGTTTTTGTTTCAGTAAAGTCATGTAGTGCTCCATGGAGCCCACTGATCATGATCTTGATCCCATGCACTGAAGTGCTTAGGGTTGCCCACAGTAATTCTGCTTTACACCACAGAGTTTCTTCCATTATACATATCCACCTGACTCCCCACCCTCCTGTGGAAGAGACAAAGGTGGATGAGGCTGGAAGGGAAAATATGGAGAGGCAGAGAAGGACTCACGTGCAAAACCAACACTCTATCTTGACACTGTCTTCTTTCACTCTAGGTTCAGGCTATTATCCAGATGAAAGCTACAATGAAGTATATGCTGAAGAGGTCCCATTGGCCCGTGCTCCAGACTATCGAGGTAAGCCTTGCTGATTTCCAGGCTCAGGAAGGCTTTCTGGTCCTTCCCTGAAGCATCTTCATATGGGCTTGGCTTCTATGTAACTGTGGCTTTTATTTCTAATCATGAACCTGGTAACTGATTTGCTATGTGACTTCAGACATCTCTAGCTTGAGGGTTGCCCAGCTATTCCTAATCCTCAAGTATCAACTGAATACCTACCCCATGTTTAATCTTGCACAAGGTAAGCCCATGGTTGGTACAAAGCCTAGGATAGGATGTTATCCCCCACAAAGAGCTTACATTCTGTTGCAAGCAAGGGGGAAATCAAATGAGCACCTGTAATGCAAGCCAGCATGAAACTATGTGGGAGCTGCTGGAAATTCAACAGGAGTTAAGACAAGTCGGGAAATGCATCATGAAAAATGACATGTAGGCTGGACCGAAAATGGTGGGAGGGACTGTGAGAACTGGAAAGGAGAGAGAAAGTTATTTGGCAAGGCAGATAGCCAAAGATAGGGAAATAAGAACTAATTTGGTTAAGGAAGGAACTAAAAAGGAACCAGCCCAACTGGAAGAGATGACATGGTGAGAGAGCAACAGGAAATTAAGTTGAAGATAAATTCATGTTGCAAAAGGCCCCATGTTCTAGGGACCTGTATCAGGAAAGGCAGGAGAATCGTGAAAAATGCTGTCAAGTGATTCCTGCATTAGGAGGAAACTTAGGCCAGGTGATATTGTTTTTTGCATGTTTTTTTAAAAAAAGATTTCTTTATTTAAAAGGCAGAGTGAATGAGTGAGTGAGTTAGAGAGAGAAATAGATATTTTCTTCTGTTGGTTCCCTCCCCAAATGGCCACCAAGGCCAGGGCTGAGTCAGGCCAGGAGCTTGGAGGCTGGGGCTCTATCTTGGTTTCCCATGTGGGTACAGAAGCCTAAGCACTCTGGCCACCATCTTTTTCTGATTTCCCAGGCACATCAGCAGGGAGCTGGATTCGAAGTAGAGCAGGCGGAAGGGGTTTTAACTGGTGCTTATAGGAAATGCTCTCATTGCAGGCAGTGGCTTAACCTGCTGTGCCACTATGCCAGCCCAAGCCAGGTACTCTCTAATGCCTCTGCCATTGACAATTCTCAGTTTATATACTTTGAAAGCCACAGAGAATAATTGAGCTGTTGTGCTAGGAGCCACAAGGAGCCATTATATTTTTGTTTCCCTCCAAAGGGGAGTGACATAATACACAGCAATTTTAGAACATTAACCTTTTATGAAAAGTAGAGACTCAAGAGGAGCAGAGCCTAAGTCAGGAGTCTCTAGAAACTGGGTACAATGATGTTAGCTAGAGATGACAGAGTAGTGGCAAAGCAGCAGAGCAAAGAATGAATCCAAAGCATGTTTCAGATGAGGAGATGGCATGAGTTGGTACAGATCAGATGTACCAAGAGGCTAACAAGGACATGACCATGTGAAGGCATCCAAGTGTAAGATCCCTCTCAAAAGAAGGCTCAGAAAGAAGACTAGCTCATTAAAGATGCCTTAAAGGCTACTGGAAGTGCAAAGTTAGAGTTATGAGTCACTAATCTAGATGTATGGACTACCCGAGGAAGCAAAGGACCAGACCCAGGTTAGAGCCTTAGGAGACATCTATAGATAAGAGCAGAAGAGACAGAAAGAGAGTGAGTTAGCGATCAACCCTGCTGGAGAAAATCACAGGAGTATTTATCCAATTACAGAAGCCACAGAAGAGCAGCTTTTTAAAAAAGAGATTTATTTATTTTTATGGCAAATCAGATACACAGACAGGAGGAGAGACAGAGAAGAAGATCTGCCATCCACTGATTCATTCCTGGAGCTGAGCCAATCCTAAGCCAGGAGCCCAGAGCCTCTTCCAGGTCTCCCACACAGTCGCAGTGTCCCAAGACTTTGGACTGTCCTCAACTGCTTTCCCAGGCCACAAGCAAGGAGCTGGATGGGAAGCAGGGCTGCCGGGATTAGCACCAACACTCATATGGGATCCCGGCGCAAGTAAGGCAAGGACTTTAGCTGCTAGGCTACTGTGCCGGGCCCCAGAGAACAGTTTTAAAGAAAGTATGGAAAGAGAATCAGCAATGGCAGGACTATTAAATATGACCTGGCCTAAGTTTCCTTCTAACACAGGAATCACTAGACATTATTCTTCAGAGTCTTTCTCAGGATGCTGCTCCTGAGAAGGGGACCTAGAACATCGAGCCTTTAAGGAAAGAGAAAAGATTAGAGATCAACTGTGCCAAGTACAACAAAGAGGTCAAATTGCAGGTAGAACAAACACTGTTTTATGAGAAAGTAGCAAATAAAGACCTTGAGAAAACACTTTCGACAGAGGAATGAGCAGAGCTTTGGGCTCCTCTGTGTTCCCTTGTAGCTGCCTCCACATAATCTCTTCTCCCCAACAAATGATCTACTCCCACTGGCTCTGTCCAGCCCCCACCACCTCCTCAACTCCCTCCAGTCTGTTTCCTTCCCTCAAATCTCCAAGCAGAAACAACTCCTCTTGAAGATCAGCTTTCTCCACATGGCCAAATCCCATGACCCTTTCTAGAGCCTCAGTCTCCGCTCTCGACAGCAACCTTGAGCAAAGCCGTTCCTTCTGAACCCCCCTTCCTCGGGCTCCATTTGTAGATAGCTAAAATGAACTCCTTTCCTCTCACCTGAGCAATGTTCTACCAGCTGACCTTCACACTTCTCATTAATGATTCTCTTAGTTGAACTTCAGAATATCTCAATGTGATCTCCAAACACCCCAAGTATCTTTAACAGCCCCCTTTTCCTCATTACTTCTTACCACTTACCAAGACCATTTCTTTATTAATACATGGGATTAAAACTTTCATCACCTCACGTGTACATAATGGCAGTTACCTTCTATGAGAATTCTCTGACTCATGGTTCTCCACCCTCCAAACCTAATGGCCTTCTGTGGCCATTTTAAACAAAATCTGCTGTCTAGCTTCCAGGCCTGACCTTTTCTGGCCAATTCTCCCTACATTAAATCTGTGCTATATTCAGGTTGCTCTAGTCTGTTCCTGGAAGGCATTAGCACACACTGAGCTTTCCCTCACCCACTCATTCTTTTAATAGGTATTGAGTATCTACCATGTACCTTTTTTGAAAGAGATATTTATCACCTAGAACATTCAGTATGTACTGCCTCTGTTTTCATTTTTATTCTCCTCAATGAAGCACTCACATATGTTTAACAAAAGGAGGCATGTAATGAGTAGATGGTGACTGCTAGCAGCTAGGGACCAGAGAGCAGACTGTAGGACAACTGTAAAATGGCAGAGTGCATAGTGAGAGGCAGAAGTGCTTTGAAGGGTCTGGCAGTCCTGTGGTTAATATCAACCTTCCTCGCTGTTCTTTATAAATAAGCATAAGGCCCTTTTAGGAAATACAAGCTGTATAGTAGCCTTTGGCCTTGGAGTTTATAGTTTCAAAAGTCTCTTTGTAATTTAAACTCAGGGCACTAAACACACTGACTCAAGTGTTACGATGAGCAGGGGGAAAGGAAAGGACAATCTGAGGAGTCAAGAATTTGTGATGTCATGATCAGAAACTCAGCGGCTGCAGTGCTTAGCAAGTTTCTGTAATTTGGATGTGGTGCCTCCATATGACAGTCAAGTGTCACACCCATATGCTAAAAACCCATCCTGGAAGCTACTGCACATAGTTGAGACGGATGAGACAGTCGCTCCAAGCCAGGCACTGCTTTTAGGGACTCTCACTTATAGGACTAGGTATTTCACACAGGCAATCCCATATAATCGGCACCGCAGCCCTATGGCACTGGTCTCATATCCTCCAATAGACAGATTAAGGAACTTCACTTAGGAAAGTTAAATTGAAACAGTCATGGAGCTTAGATGGCAGAGCAGGAATTTAAGCCTAACTCCAAAGCTTCACTCATTCTTTGTTTTCATTTCAGTGTCTCAAGCAAAGACAAAAAGGAAGAGCTAACCAGGAAAATGACTATCATTATTTTAGGGCAAACTGCCCATGTCATTTGGTTCCATTTGCACTAATCTTGCACTTTCTTTCTCTTATCATAAATCCCAACTTGGAATCAGACGCTCTTCTCTGAGTTGTCGCTTTGCTAGCCTTAGGCAAACCTGGCATCCCCTTCCAACCCTGTTGTCAACCCTGTCCTTTCTTCATATTCCCACGGAAGAGAGCCCTCCTAGCTGTCTAACCCTGGACACATACCTATGATGTGCCAGTCTCTGTGCTACACGGTCTTATAAACGTTTTTCATTTCAATAAACCACACAAGGCCACAAAGTGATAAGGAACACTCTCCGAAACAGATTGTTAACGGAAAGAGCAATAGTGGGAAGGGGTGGGTTTTTGGCCTAGTAGATACTCACAACACCATGTCAGAGTGCCTGGGTTCCATCTATTCAGCTCCGCTCCTGACTCCAGCTTCTTGCTAATGCAGACCTTGAGAGGCAGCAGTGAGGGCACAAATGGTTAGGTCCCTGCATTGAATTCTTAGCTCATAGCCTCAGCTCCAGCCAGGTGTCACTGTAGACATTTAGGGGGTGGGGTGAAATATGGGTACTGTTTGTCTCTCTGCTTCTCAAATAAGTGAACAAAAAGTTTCTTTAAAAAAAAATGGTGGAGACAGTGGTCATAATATGCTGCTCTGTATGTTTAAATAGAAGAAAATAAGAATCTATACCAGTATTTGCTTTATATACCTAAAGGAACTTTTAAAATTTTATTTATTTGAAAGAGCTACAGAGAGAGAGTCAGAGAGGGATCTTCCATGTGCTGGTTCACTCCTAAGATGACCACAATGGCTAGGGCTGAGCTGGACCAAAGCCAGGAGCTTCGCCTAGGTTTCCTATGTGGATTACAGAGGCCCAAACACTTGGGCCATCTTCTGCTGCTTTTCTCAGGCCATCAGCAGGGTGCTGAATGGGAAATGGAGCAGCCAGGACTCAAACTGGCACTCCTGTGGGATGCCAGAGTATACCAGACAGTGGCTTTACCCACAATGCGGCAACATACACTGTTTAGGGAGAACTAAGTGGGACTGAGGGTAGAAGAAGGCACATTTGTGTGTGTGTGTGTGTGTGTGTGTGTGTGTGTGTGTGTGTGTGTGTAACTTTGTATACTTTGAGGTTTGACCCTATCCAAAAAAGGCCAGTGTTTACTGCAAAATAGTAACCAGCACAGCTGCTGTGGCAAACTCTGTGATGAGAAAGAATGTGGGATTAGAGGAGACAAGGCTTCCATTCAGATCCCAGCTCTGGTCCTTGCATGCTGAGGAGCCCTGTGCAAGTTACTTCCTCATCTGCTAAATAGGAAAATACACCCACCTTTTGCACAAGGCTGCTGGGAGAACCATATGATAAGATGTATGTGAAAAGGAAAATAGATAGCATGGTGCAGGATACACAGTAGATTCTCAATAAAACCTAGCACATTTCCCATCAGACTTTTTTTTACCTTGCAGTAATTAACCACGTCCTTACTTTCAGTTTCTCCACAGTGTTCTATGGGTGGAGCTTTCAGCCAATTAGGAATCTTATTAACCGTACTGTCACCTCAATTGTATTTCTTCATCTCATCCACATCGAATGGCATGAAAAACTGTCACATGCCTCATTTACTTCCACACATTGTACCCATTTTCCTGGTTCTACCAGTTTGGCAGCCCTACCCCAAAAAGAAAATGAGGTCTGTCTGGAATTACTAGCTCTTGGGGCTGATTAAAGAGCACCACTTCTCCAAATAAGCCTCACGTTTCAATATTCTATAATGTGATACTGTCAGTGCTGGCAGTGTTACCGGACTCCGGTTTTTAGAAGCCACCTTCTTCTAACATGAAAAGCGGGGTTTGTGGTTTTTGCATTTCTCTAGCCTTCCAACGCTTTGTCTCTGCCAGCTTTCCTCTGGGCCAGCAAAGTTGAAGCTATTTACAATAGCTGTGCCCTCCCTGATGGTCTCGGCATTTATCCCAAGCTTGATATTTCCCTTTACTATTCCTGCTAGTTCTGTCCAATGTGCATTTTCCATGCCTGGATGTGGGCGGGGGGGGGTCAGAAATGGAGCAGGAGTGACTGTTGCGCTCCTAGCCTGCCGTGCTAGCGTTTTGTGATACACGCTGTAGCCTTATCATCAACAACTCTGTGCTCAGCAGATTTTCTGTCATTCGGAGATGCTGACTCCAGATGGCAGCTGTGTGTCACTGTCGCAGGCTTTGTGACAGTGCAAACTCTGCTGGAAGCCCTGAGCACAGTGTCGGTTGAAGAGCTTTCTCACTGTCTGTGTTCCCCAGCTGGGCTCAAGCAGGGGATCTCACCTTTCTTTGTCCCTTCAGTTCCTGATGTGCTTCTTCCCCGCAAAGTCCCCTCTCCCCTTTTCTGTCCTTTAGCATCTGGGAACTGAATTAGCTCATGCAAGACTTCAGCCTTTCCAACGCTAGCCGAACAGATTAGTGCCGTGCTGTGCATGCAGCCTTAGGCAGGTGGTCCGCCACTCATTTATTTCTGTCCCTTTAAAATATGAGCCCACCACGCCATTTATTTTGTGTAGCTAATGAGGCATGTTCACGACACCTTTAGGATTTAACAGTCTGGTAACCTGTTGTGCTCAATACTGAACTGGAATTGAACTTTCATTTCCATGCAGCCTTCTTTAATGTCACATTCTTTTCCCTTCTCTAATTTATGTTTTTATGTTACATTTAAAAAATTATCTTCATGGGGCCAGCATGGTGGCAAAGCTAGGCAATCCTGTATCCTATGAGCAGTGGCATCCCATATGAATGAAATTTCTAGTCCCAGCTGCTCCACTTTTGATCCTTTTCTATGCTAATGCCTGGGAAAGCAGCAGAGGGTGGTCCAAGTGCTTGGGCAACCCCGCAGCCACAGGGCAAACTAAGAAGAAGCTCTTGGCTTCAAACCAGTCCAACTCTGGGTGTTGCAGCCATTTAGAATGAATCGATGGATGGAGGATCTGTGTATGTGTGTGTGTGTGTGTCTCACTCACTTTGCCTCTGTAACTCTTTCAAATAAAATATAATCTTTTCAAAAATTTTAAATTTCCATCCAGGAAAATTCACTCTTATTTTGGTGTACATGAATCTGAACAAATGTGTAGGGTGAAGTAACTGGCACCACAGCACAAAACAATTTCATCATCTCCCAAATTTACCCAGGGTTGCCTTGCTATACCTTTGAACTCTGGCAACCTCTGATCTGCATTCTATCCCTGTATATTTTCACAAGTTTTATTTATTTGGAAGGGAGGGATAAAGGGAAAGAGGCATTCCTCTCTGCTAACTGACTCCTTCCTCAAATGCCTGTATCAGTCAGAACTGCATCAGGCAGAAGACAGGAGCAGGAAATCCAGTCCATGTCTCCTACTTGAGTGGCATGCACCCAAGCATTCAAGCCATCACCTGCTGCCTCCCAGGGCACACACCATCAGAAATTTGGAACCAGAAGTGGAGCTAGGAGTCAACTCCAGGCACTCCAATATGGGTTGCACGCATCCTAAATGACATTTTAACTACTGTGCCAAATGCCTGCCTTATCCGTCCCTGTATTTTTGTCATATAAATGGAGTCCTACACGATGTAGACTTTTGAGTCTTTCACTTCAAACAGTTCATTTGAGCATCATCTGTGAATCAGCACTTCATTATTTTGTGTGACTAAACCACAGTTAGTTTAACCATTCACCCATAGAAAGACTTTTGAATTGTTGCTACCTTCTGGCAATAGTGAATAGAAAAGACTTGAAACATTTGTGTATAGGATTTTGTGTGGACACAGATTTCCATTTCACTTGGGTCAATAACAATGTTGGATTGCAGAGTTGCAGGAGTAATATACTTTTCTTTATAAGAGGATACAGTGCTACCTTTATAAGAAACTTCCAAAATATTGTCCAAAGTGACTGCATTTCTTCTAGCAATGTAAGAGAGATCCAGTTTCTATATTTACCAAAACTTGGCATTGTCAGAGTTTTGTTTCTTTTCCTTTATAAGGACTTTTTTAAGTTTAGACATTCTAAAGGGTTTATCACATTTCTCTAATGGCTAATGGCACAGAATATCTTATCATGTGCTTATTTGCCATCAGTATATCATCTTTGGTGATATGTCTGTTCTTATCATTTGCGTATGTTTTAACTGGATTGCTGGCTTTTCTTTAATCCTGCATTTGAGAGTCCTTTATGTCTTTAGATACTGGTTCTTTGTTGCATGAGTGGTTTGAAAATATTTTCCCAGAATTTGCGATGTGTGATCTCTTAATAATATCTTTCATAGAGTAACATTTTTTAATCTTGATCAGGTCCAATTTACCGATTCCTACAAATTGTGTTTTTGTTGTCATGTCTGAGACTTCTTTTCCTAGCACTAGATCCCAGAGGTTTTCCCCTGTGCTTTTGATAAAAGTTCTACAAATTTCTTTACATTTAAAATTGTGATCCATTTTAAGTTTATTTTTTATCAGGTTTGAATCTTATGTCAATCTTTAAATTTTTTTGCATATGAATGGCCAATTGCTACAATAACATCTTTTAAAAAGCTATAGTTTACATCTGTATCATTTCAGCATGTTTATGTGGGTGATTTCTGGATTATTCTGTTCCCTTGATCTGTGTGCCTGTGCTTTCAACAACACCACACTCACTGTCTTAATTATTTCTTACTTATTCTATTGCTACAGTCCCCCAATGGTGTTATACATTAAATATCCAAGATGGAGAAGCTACTTGCTACTCACCAAGGGGAGGAAATTATCACAGCAGCCTGGGCACACGTTGTGAGATCTCCTGTGACCGGGGTTTTCGACTGATCGGACGTAGGTCGGTGCAGTGCTTGCCAAGTCGTCGTTGGTCTGGAACCGCCTACTGTAGGCGTAAGTGTGTGTATGTGCGTGTGTGTTCTGAAATGTGGATGTGAAAGAAGCCACCCAGTCATATACTGAGAGTATGCATATGGAGGTGTTACCAGATTTTCCCAAATACAAATTGGGAATTTTCCACAAGCCCCAGGAGGTTGTTTACTTTTCCTAATACAGAACTACTATCCAAGCAGCCACCAGCCCTTCTGACTCAGGAAGCCTAGGAGTACATGCAGTTGGCTAAGATTTAGGCCTGAGGTTTGATGTGAATGTATTCACATGTGTATGGACTTCTGCGGCTTGCAAGGGTGTGTGGTATCTCACTCCACATGTGGCCAACTGCTGTAATTCCTGGCCTTCAGCCATACAAGGCCTTACCGGAAAGGCCATGAAACATCTGTCTTTCACTTTCTTTCTCCAAGTCAATAATTGCTGAGGCTAGAATGTGGAGATCCTAATACATGTGCTTTCCAAACCATGTCCTCCTTTAGCTTCTAGATCCTGCCCTCTTATTCCAGTTCCACAGCTCACACATGATTTCTAAGGCACACAGATTCTCCTTTGGTCAGCCACCACCACACTTGGCCCTTCACATATTGGTCTCACCTGAATAGTCACCCAGACAGAGGGCAGGCCCACTTTGCCATGTGAGGGAGTCTCAACTAATGACTGTCTGTGCCAGTACCAAAATTATACTCCAAGGAGAGCTCTGAGGATGCTGAAAGACATCTAGCAATTCAGGAACAAGAAATGAAAACTATCAGCTGCTGAGACCTTAAATGAATCTTGGAATTAATTGACATTGTCTCTTAACCTGAACAATTCTATAAGGTTTCACAGATGAGAACACTGAGACTCGGAGCTGCTAAGATGTGGACCTAGGATGTGAGCTTGAATCTGATTCTGAAGTCTACACATTTGGACAAGTGATTCACTTCTTTCAGATCCCCTCACTCCAGAAAACACTGATGCACTTTATAGTACCAAAATAAAGAGAAAACTAGGGGAAAAGGCACTTACGTACACAAATGTGAAGGCAGTTTGGGAACAGTTTCTTTATTTTTTGCTGTCTCTGATTTGGCTCTGCCCATACTAGATGGCCAGGCATTACCTCAAAGTAGTCCCACAGCCCATTGAGCTTGTCACTTGGTTCTCTCTTAGAGATGAGATGCCATGCATTGCCATTCATCTCTAGTGGCACCTACACCTGCACGAATGGGGTGCTTCTGGACTCGCGCTGTGACTATAGCTGTTCCAGTGGCTACCATCTAGAAGGAGACCGTAGCCGAATCTGCATGGAAGATGGGCAATGGAGTGGAGGCCAGCCTGTATGTGTAGGTAAATGCTAGTTGCTCCTCGTTATCAGTGTGCTAAGAGCCACAACAGCAATAGGTCCCCCCCACACACACACACACAATTGTGGAATTCTTACCATGGAAGTCATTCCTGTTTGCTAGGAGGGTGGCACCCTGGACAGATACCTAAGGAAATGATCCTTTCCCCATGAATCGGTTTCCTTCCCCAGTTTCCTTGAGCACCTTTAATTAGTAACCTAACCTGTGGTGTGTGTACAGCTTGGATGGGTTCCCTCCAGGGAAGGCAGGAAATCAATGAGTCAGTGCTTGATTTTTGACCTTGGCAGACATAGATCCTCCCAAGATTCGCTGTCCCCATTCACGTGAGAAGATGGCAGAGCCAGAGAAACTGACTGCTCGAGTATACTGGGACCCACCCTTGGTGAAAGATTCTGCTGATGGTACCATCACCAGGTGTGCTGTGGTAACACAGGCCCCCCTACGCTTCGCAGAAGCATCCCCACTTTTTCAAGCTGCTCACGCAGAAACAGCACAGGTGGAGGCTCCAGGCATGATGTGCCTCCCATCACAATTCTAAGGGTTTCTTTGCTCAGTGGCGCTTTCACCCTGTCCTATGCAGGGTGACACTTCGGGGTCCTGAACCTGGCTCTCACTTTCCTGAAGGAGAGCATGTGATTCGTTACACTGCCTATGACCAAGCCTACAATCGGGCCAGCTGCAAGTTCATTGTGAAAGTACAAGGTCAGAAAAAATTCTTCACTTCCCAAATTGTTCACTCTCTCTACTCTACCCCGACCTTCTAGAAGTCCTTCTACAACCCTTTGCTCTCTATGCCTGAAACAGATACTTCATTTATCCCTGGAGAGGGAAAATGGAAGTTCAGCCAGCAAGTTCATCCTGAAAGTCTACATTGTAGGTGCATGTAAATGTTTTGGAAACCGTGATTCCCCAGTGAAACTTTCTCATTCTCCCAAATCTGTAAATAACTCACAAAGATGCTCTGCTTCTTCTCTGGACTTGCGAAATGACTAAATCAAAGCAACCTTCCTTATCAGAATTTACCTCTCCTGACACTTATGGTGTTGGCTGTCTGATTCTTACCCAGTACCTTCTGATGTGCTATTTTGTCTTGCTTTCTCATCCTAAAAAAGAAACCATTCTCATTTTCGAATCTTTAGTAAATATAAAAGCATGGTATTGCCTATTACCCCATTTGAATAAGCAATGCCCAGATTATCTGTAAAGTCTGCAAACAGATGGCCATATTTTCTTTCACATACTGGACATCTTGCGGTGACAATATGTGCATTCATCTGTGCTTCCAGACTTTGTGAACCTTTGAATTTCAGATTTAATTCATTCATAAGTGAATATTCTAGCTCCATTCTTGGCTACTAGAATAGAGGAGCTAGTGTTGTGGTGTAGTACGTAATGCCACTGCCTCTGACGCCGGTATCTCATATGGGTGCTGGTTTAAGTCCACGTGGCTTCACTTTCCCTCTAGTTCCCTGCTAATGTGCCTAGTAAAGCAGCAGAGGAAGGCCCAAGTCCTTGGGCCCTGTACCCATGTAGGAGACCAAGAAGAAACTCTTGGCCTGGCCCAGCTCTGGTCATTGCAGCCATTTGGGGAGTGTACCTATTTATGGAATATTATCTCATCCTCTCTCTCTCTCTTCCTCCCTTCTTCTCTCTTTCAAATCTCTCTCTGTAAATTTTCCTTTCAAATAAATCATTTTTAAAAGCCATCAACTCCAATCATCTGGCCTTTTGGTCTGGAAAGACTAGTGAGGGCCTCTTTTAACTTTTCCTTTTTAAAATTGATATGATAACCCCTCTCAAATTCCTCCCTGACAGTGAGACGCTGCCCAACTCTGAAACCACCACAGCATGGCTACCTCAGCTGCACCTCTGCGGGGAACAACTATGGGGCCACCTGTGAATACCACTGTGATGGTGGTTACGAGCGCCAGGGCACGCCTTCCCGAGTCTGCCAGTCTAGCCGCCAGTGGTCGGGATCACCACCTATCTGTACTCGTGAGTGCAGGCAGGGAGTGCGACGAGTAGATATATACCAATGGGTAGAGTACTTTGCAGGGTTCCTTTCCAGGAGCATTGGTCTATCCAATGACAATATGTTCACATAAAACTGGAGGGTTCTGAGATGTGTTTTAAGGGCCAAGGTTCTCCACCCCCCTCCGCCACCCTGACCTCATCATACAACTATCCCAAGAACAAGGGTTCAAACTCTCCAAGTGTTTTTTTCAGAATATCCCTCCCAGGGAAAGGAAACACTACAAGAAAGGTTAATGTGAAAGAATGGAACTCCTCACCCACAATTGAGAAGAGCAGAGGGGCAACCCTCCTCTGACTGGCTACCTACTTCTGCCCTAGCCATGAAAATTAACGTCAATGTCAACTCAGCTGCTGGCCTGCTAGATCAGTTCTATGAGAAACGGCGACTCCTCATCATCTCAGCTCCTGACCCCTCCAATCGATACTATAAAATGCAAATTGCCATGTTACAGGTGAGACCACTCCCTAATAAGGGCTAACTCCTCTACCCCATAACCTATTCCAAATCAAAGTTACTTAAAACTTAAAAAAAAAGTTGTTGCTATGGCACAAACCCTACTTTCTGCAGTTTTTGTGGTTAACATTTGATCAGTTTAGCATGCATTTGGCACATTGGGGGCTTTTTGATAATTTTTACATCTAAAAATTTTGTATTTATTTAAGTGGCAGAGAAAGACACAAGGAGCTCCTAAACACTGATTCACTCCCCCAAATGCCTGCAATGGCCAGGACTGGGCCAAGATGGAACCTGAACCAGAAACTTCTGCGTGGGTAGGGGTGGGCAGAATTCAAACATTTGAACCACTACTCCTACCCTCAGGGTGTACATTGACAGAAGGCTAGGGTTAGGAGCCAGAGCAGGGCATTGAACTCAGTCACTCACGTCCTAATTAATTTTTTAAGAAAAGATTTTATTTATTTGAAGCAAAATGATAGGGATGGAAAATAGAAACAGAGACAGAGAGAGAAAATATCTTATATCCAATGATAAGTTTCCCAAGAGCTTACAACAGAGCAGAACCAGCCTAAAGCTAAGAGTCTAGAATTCCAGCCCTTTCTCCCACACCAATGGCAAGGGCCCAAGCATGTGAGCCATTGTTTTCTGCCTTTCCAGGCACACTAACAGGAAGCTGGATAAAAAGCACAGTAGCTGGGACTCAAACCAGCACCACACTATGGAATGCAGGTATCCCAAGCAATGGCTTACACTGCTGTGTCACAATGTCAGCTTCTTATAATTGGTCTCTTAGCCACTAGACCAATGTTCATCCCTTTGTCTATTGTTAATCACTGTTACATTTTGACAGAAATGGCAATGACAGCACTGGAATGGTGGAGGTGGCTTGCAGGGAGTTGGATTAAAGGATGGGAAAGAGTGTGGCAAAGAACTCTGGAGAGATTTTGAAGACAGATATGATCAAATGCTAGGAATTAAGCACACTTTCAAGGAATAAAAATACTAACATTTATATATTTAGTGCTTTTCACATACTCATCAAATTCTCACAGCAACCCTTATGGTAGATAGTACTAAGATACTTAGTGAATAGATAACCAGACTGAGGCACAGAGAGATCAAGTGATTTGCTGAAAGTTACTAGCTAGTATGTAGTAGTGCTGGGATTAAACCCAGACAGTGTTGTTCCAGGACCTATGCAAAAGAGAAGGAAAAGTATTATGATACCTCAAAGTAAAATGAGGAGTTGCATGACAATTGGTAGCATGCATAGAAACCTTATGAAAGCCACTAGTGGGAGAGAAAGACAGGACAGGACATGAGAGGTAGCACTGCGGGGACTTAATAGAGTGTACAGATGGGGTTGCTAAAGAAAATTCAAGGTATGCTGATGCAAATAGAAACATCTCCAAGCAGCCTCAAAAGTCTGGCTAAGGGCCTGGTGCTATATGCGTTGGGATTCCTTATGGATGCCGGTCCGTGTCCCGGCTGCTCCACTTCCCATCCAGTTCCCTGCTTGTAGTTTTGGAAAGCAGTAAAGCAGTAAAGGATGGCTCCAAGCCTTGGGACCCCACACCCATGTGGGTGACCTGGAAGAATTTCCTTGCTCCTGGCTTCAGGTTGGTGCAGCTCCGGCCCTTGTGGTCACATGGGGAGTGAATCAGTGGAAAAGAACTTTTGCTCTCTATCTCCTCTCTCTAAATCTTTCTGATAAACATATAAATAAGTAAATGTTTTAAAAAAGGAAAAGTCTGGCTACCTAGGAAAGGGAAGATGCTAATTAGGTTTCCTTTTTTTAATGAAAGTTTACTGTAAGTTTCATCTTTTTAAAGTTTATTTACTTGAGAGGCAGAAAGAGGCAAAGAGATTTCCAAAATGCCCACAATAGCTGAGGCTACTCCAAGCAGACCAGCAGCACAACCCATGGCTCCCATGCACGTGGGAGCATCCCAAATACTGGAGCCACCACTACTGCCTCCCAGGGTTCGCATTAGTCAGAAGCTGGGAACCACAGACAGAGCCAAAAATCCAATGCAAGCTCTCTGATGTGGGACTCTGGAGTTAACCGCTATACAAACACCTACTTCAGGAGCTTTGGAAGGTTGAATCTGAGAAGTTTCCAAAGCAATATTTCAAAGCCCATAATGGAAACAGTTTTACTAAAGGGATGAATCTGCATGTCTAGACCATAAAAGGATCTCGGTCTTCCAGGGATCCAGAAAAGACAGAGAAAGGTGAACAGCTGAGGTACTTTCTAGCAAGGGTACCAGGATTACAGAGAAGGAGCCCAAACATGAAACAAGCACAGGGCATCAGGGAGTGTTCAATGCTTCCTTAAACCTCACACTATGACTGGCAACCTTTCAGGACAAGGCAGGACAAAGAGCCAACTAGGAGTTCTAGGGTGTGCTGCCAGGATGAGTATGGAAAAGGGGTCTGGGCACTATTTTGGGCAAATCTTGGAAACTGACAGAAAATCCTGGCAATGTAACCTGGTGGTAAGAGCACATATATCAGCAGGTGGAGTCAGCTCTCAATTTAATTCTGAGCTCAGCAGTTTATTGTCATATAAATCTGAGCAAGTTACTTTTCTCTTCTTTTGAATGGCACCATTTAGCTGGTTGGGTATTTCTAGAAATGTGTACTCAATAAACAAGTGTCACGGGATGGGTGTTTAGCAAAATGGTCAAGATGCAGGTAAAGACACCTGTGTCCTACATCTGAGTACCTGGGTTCAATACTTGCTTTTGGCTCCTAACTCCAGCTTCTTGCTAATGAAAATCCTGGGAAGCAATGGTGATAGTTCAAACAGTTGGGCTTCTGTCACCCACGTGGGAGACCTGGATTAAGTTCTCAGCTCCTGGCTTGTTCCCAGCATTTGAGGAGAGAATTCATGAATGGACGTTCTCTGTTTCTCAAATATTTTTTACAAATCAATAGCAATTATATTACAATGGCCATTTGTTAAGATCAAGGTAGTTCCAGGGCCCGGCGCGGTGGCGCAAGTGGTTAAAGGTCCTCGCCCTGCACGCCCGGGATCCCATATGGGCGCCGGTTCTAATCCCGGCAGCCCCGCTTCCCTTCCAGCTCCCTGCCTGTGGCCCGGGAAAGCAGTCGAGGACAGCCCAAAGCTTTGGGACCCTGCACCTGCGTGGGAGACCCGGAAGAGGCTCCTGGCTTCGGATCGGCATAGCATCGGCCCGTTGCGCTCACTTGGGGAGTGAATCATCGGACGGAAGATCTTCCTCTCTGTCTCTCCTCTCTGTATATCCGCCTTTCCAATGCAAAAATAATAAAAAAAAAATAAATCTTTAAAAAAAGATCAAGGTAGTTCCAGATCTATGGAAAGCTAAAAAATGATTATGTTCCCAGAATTAAATAATTTCACTTTTCTTTTTCACCCTACATCATGGGGCCAGTTTCATCCGCTTCAGTAGAATGCGGGCACCCCAGCAATGGCAGAGGGAAAGGATTGCTGTGGACCCCACAGTGTTGTAGGGGAACTGCCTCCTTTTCCCTTCATGTCTTATGTGGTGCCGGTGATATCATCCAAATAACCTAAAATTAGACTGTAAAGATCTGTTTCATAGAATGTTCTCTTTCCCTTCCAGCAATCTACCTGCGGGCTGGACCTGAGGCATGTGACCATCATCGAACTGGTGGGGCAGCCACCTCAGGAAGTGGGGCGCATCCGGGAGCTGCAGCTATCAGCCAATATCATCGAGGAGCTAAGGTCCAGGCTGGGAGGCTGCAGGGCAAGGCTAGGCAAACACTCTAGGCTGAGTATTGGTGATAGGGTGATATTCTTGGGGCACTTGTGTTTGAGCTTTTATGGATGCATTAGATAAAACCAGAGTTTTTTTTTTTTTTAACTCGGGGAAGATTGGAATCAAATGGAAGGTTAAAATACAGATTCCCAGACCCCACTCCAAGCCATCTCGGGTATATATTTTTATAAATGTCCTTTAGGTGATTCTGAGGCACAACTATTGCTGAGGGAAACCCAAAATTCAATTCAGATAAGGGATGCTGTTGCCTTTATGGCTTCATCCTTTTACCTTGCATCTCTAAGAGAGCAAAAAGTATCTTTTAGGCACTGATATATGACTTAAACACTAAGCCCTGAGAAAAGGCTATATAGGTGACAGGATGCAGCTAACTCTTCCCATTATCTTTCTCTCATCACCCTTTTACTGCTTCCACAAATAATTAGCCAGGTGATAGTTCTCAACCTCTGGGCCACCACGTATGATGCACATGTGCTTCACAGTGCCTGTGATGGGTGTCTCTGGAGTCACTCCACACAGCCTACAGGAGCCTACAATGGCACAGCCTAGAAACATTATAGGTAATGGAGGTGATGAAGACAGGAGGTGGGTAGGAAAGGCATTAGCCCACTGATGCATCTGGGAGAGGTCACAAGGTCACAGAGCACAGTGGGGTAGATGCCTAGTCAAGCGCTCACATCTTCCTTGATGCTTTCTCTAGGCAATTTCAGCACCTTACACGTTCCTACTTCAACATGGTATTGATTGACAAGCAAGGTATTGACCGGGAACGCTACATGGAACCTGTCACCCCTGAGGAAATCTTCACATTCATTGATGACTACCTGCTGAGCAACCAGGAGCTGACCCAGCGTCGGGAGCAAAGGGACGTATGCGAGTGACTTTGAAGAAGGGCACAGTGGAGCTCAAGGGAAAAACTTCCCGGTTAGCTAAGATAGGGGCCCAATAAAAGGAGGAAGTGACTAGTTTTCACTGTTCCAGGAACAGGACTCTGAGGTGGCCAAGGTTCATTAATCCTGCTGCATTTCCAGGAATCCTTTTCAGGGCTGTTCAATAGTTTCCCTAAGTAAGTCTCTGCTTCAGGTAGCGCTAGAGGAGCATAAAAAGCTAGGTAGGGACTAAAAGCAGGCCCTGAACAGTGGTTTGGGGTAGAAGACATTACTTTTTTTAAAAAAAAACTTGGATCTTTTCCCACCTCTCCACAGCCTTTGACATGAGTAAATTCTAAATTCATTCACTAACCAGCTGTGTTTAAATGGTTCCTCTACGCTAAGGAGACAGCAGAGGGCAGCACCATCTCAACAGACAAGCAAGACACTTTAGGCACACATAACTGGATTTTCCTTGCAACATTAACTATATCAGACCTGGGGGAGAGGCAGCTGCCAAACATTCTTGAACTTGCTTGTCATTTCCTTTTCTAAGGCACTGGGCTAAAAATGTTCCATGAATCCCGGATTCAGGATGTTCTCTGCTGGCCCTTCCGGCTGCTCATGGGCAAGACCAACTTGTTATTGAGGTTTCTGATTCCCATAGCAAAAGGCATAGGCTGTCCTTTGCTTAGAGGGCTCCCCTACTCCCAGCCTGTGAGCTAAAAAATCTCATAAGCATCACTATAGTTAGTAGGGAAAGTCGGGAAAATAGACTCAGTGTTATGTACTGCCTACGTAAAATAGCTTCATTTCAGAAGATACATATTTGAGAAAGAGACACAGGAAATAACAGTTGTCAATCCCCAGTTCACCTCACAAATGACTGCAACACCTGAGGCTGGATCAGGCCAAAGCCATGTGTGGGGAACTTAATTTAGGTCTCCCATGTGGTTCATTGAACCCAGGCAAGGCACTCCAACAATGAAATACAGTTGCCTTAACCCTTAAGCTCAACCCCAGATAACTACTTTTAAGAAATGAGCACAGACCAGGGAAGAGCTACAACAGCATAAAGTCAAGCCCTATGTAATCAGGACTGAAAAGAAATTTGAGGTGGAATCTAGTCAAATAGAAAGCCTCCAGTCCCCTCACACACACATAAAAATGGAGCCAGCCACCCACCTCATACATACACAAACACCCCTACCCTGAATGCAGTCCACCCCTTGCCATCGAGAATCTATTTTATACAGTCATGTCACAGAATCCAGAGTCTTAATAAGACTCAGCAGCTTTTCATCTTTAGCATTAGGCAGGGAGTCATCAGTAGAAAATTAGAGGGGAGGAGCTCACATTGTGGCCCAGTGGATTAAGCTGCTGCCCATGACACCAGCATCCCCTAGCAGAGTGCTGCTTTGATTTCTGACTGTTCCCTTTCCAATCCAGCTCCCTGATAATGCACTTGGGAATGCAGTGAACATGTCCTGAGTTCTTGGGCTTCTGTACCCACATGGCAGACATGGATGAAGCTTCTGACTGATGGCTTCAGCCTGGACCAGCTCCATTTGGGGAGAGAATCAGAAGGTAGAAGCACACACACTTTCTCTACTTCTCTTTGTCACTTCTGCATGTCAAATAAACACATAACTTAAAAACTGGAAATGAGAAGAAGGCAGGCTGGTTATGGAGACAGAGCTAATAATACTGGAACGCTCACTATATACAAGGTTTTATTCTCTTTATACTATTGAAGTCTATTATTAACCCTTTACAGAAGAGAGAATTTCAGCTCCAAAAGCTTTGGTAATTTGCCTAAGATTGGACTGCTAGTAAGCGGCATGGCCAGGATTTTAATGCTGGCTCCAGAGTCTGTGTTCTCAGGCATGATGCCATGCTGCCTTTAATTCTTTCCCTACTTTCCATTGAAAGACAGCTAAAAGGAAAAGGAGTCAATCTTCCCTGATCCTACTCAGATGTGAGTCTTAGAGTGGTCCTAGAGGAAATGGGGAGATACAAGGCTCTCAACCCAAGGAATTTTGCTCTAGAAAGGGGAGTCATAAGGCAAAGTAGGTTACGCAGCTCATGTGGGCACCCATTTTATTCACGGCTGACTTCTAATCCAGTCCCTACTAAAGTGCCTGGGAGGATGGCTCAGGTCCTTGGGCTGCTGCAACCATGTGGGAGACCCAGAAAAAGCTCCTAGTTCTTGGCTTCAGACCAGTGCAGCTTTGGTCATTACAGCCAGTTAGGGAGTGAACCAGGATATACAAGATTTCTTTCACAACCCCCCTTCTCTGTGCAACTCTGCCTTTCAAAAAATAATTTTAAAAAAGAGAACATAAACTTTAAAAAGAAAAGCAGAGTGGCAGGATATAAGTCATTAGCCCAGAGCATATAGGGCAGCTATGACTCAGAGAGCAGCCATTTCCACTAGGATTTTCATGGGAGTTCCGTATTTACAATGTAAAAGCAGAAGTTAGGTTGTTGCTGGTTGGAATAGGCAATGAGGAAATACAGGAGCTACGAGAGACAGGAAGCAAGTTATAGGCAGAAGGCAAAATACAATGGGTTCCTGTCGGAAATCTCTAGTCAGACAATCTCTGTGCTTCCCCAGGTAAAAATTGCAGATTGCCCTGAGCATGATGAATGTCCTTCTTTGTCCTTATCATTGACATTTCCAGTGACAAGCCAGGACTTGCTAAGCATGTCAAAGGCCCAAATGGTAACTCCTGAACCGAGTTCCTACCTGGGCTTGACTCTTGCCTATCCTAAGGCATTTCAAAAGGTTTGTGGAAAATGAGATTGCACAATAAGTTCATTAAAAAAAAAAACTTTGAAATCCAGGCATAGTTTTATTCTCATACAATCATCTTGGAGTTTTTGGAGACTACTTATATAATGGGATTTCAAGGCTTTTTTGGCACCAGAATACACTAATTTTTAAATTTTGTTTTTCCATGAATGCTTTTTCTTGCTACTTGAGAGACAGGGAGAGAGTTCCCATTGCTGGTTTACTCCCTGAATGCCTGCAGCCAACTACTTGAGCCATCATCTACTACATGCCATGATCTGCATTAACAGGGAGCTGTTACCAAAGCTTGAAGCCAAGCATCAAACCAGGGAGCTCCAGCATTTGATGCAAGTGCCTTAGCCCCCAGGTTGAGTGCCCATCTCTCCATGAGCTTTGTGAAGTCTTCTTACAATTGCTCCTCTCACTTAAATCAACTGAAGTACTTTAGTTGTGAGTAATCAAGGGAAGTCATTATTACTTTCTTCAGGTGAAGTTTTGCTCTACTGTCTTTTGTAGTCGTGTAGATTATGAATCAAGAGATCCTAACTCCAGTAAGTAGGGGGAAAAAGACTGTAGCAAAACCAGGGCCACAGCTAGAGCCCAAAGGCTAGCCTGATCTCAACCCTGCCTCTCTCTGTTCTCACTTAGTTCCTACTCTCCTTGCCCTTTTTCTTCCCCCTTCCCTCCTTTTCCTTCTCCCTCTCATCTACTACCCCACCCTGCAATACAAACACGCAAGCTATAAAGTCACTGAGTTTGCTAGGTAATGTCCAAAGCATTCTGATTGTTGTGCTTTGTAAGTTATTTCCTTAGGACATTTTGGAAGAGATGAATCATTCCTTCCTTTGGGTATTCACTCATAACACACAAATTCTCACAGGAGATGACAAGCTGTGCCCGGCTCTGTAACAGTAAAGATTTTCTACTTCACAAGATGAATTGAGAAATTAGAGTACTACAAAAAGTCATACACACAAGACATTCAATATGTAGTACTATATATTATTTTTGCACAAGAGGTCAAGAATTAGTTGGCTCTCCCTAGAAACCAGGACTTTTTTTTTGCTGAGATGGGTTATTTTGCATTTGTGCCACTTTTCTTGTAAAACTAAATATTGAAAGTAGGCATGAAACAAAAAGTCACCATGTCCCAAAGACATTGAACTATTCAAAAAGAGTCACTTACAGCATGGGATATCTTCTTTCACCTCTCTCTAGCACAGGGGACTCTAAAACCTAGAGGAAGAGTTCACTTGTACATGACGAAAAGTGGCGCCACTCTTCAGTGGGTTCCTACGACTCTCCTTAGATACCACACACAACAGGCAAGGGATCAGAGCTCAGAAAAAAAAAGCACAATCTGGCAAAAGGCCAGTTCTCTTCAAAGTTGCACAGGAGGGTTAGAAAAGGCATTTTTCACTTTGGTTCTTATACCCTTCAGACCACATGAAAAAGCAACAGTAAGGACATCAGAGACAGAAGCATCTAGAGAACTACCAAATGCAAACATTTGACAAATAAGAAAGCTTTATTGAAGCACACATACATGCTAGGGGATGGGGAACAAAGGAGCGAGTTACAACCCAGGATCTCAAGTTACGCCCTCTGTTACATTATCAATCCATATCAAACAAATCATCCCTTCATTTAGTTTCTGCATGCACTGGAAACCCCTGGAACCATCCTCAATTCTGTGGCCTTTGTGAAAGTCAGCTAGCTGCACACTGTACATTGAAAATGATTTCTTCTCTGGTATAGGCTCCCTCAACATGCAACTTCCTATAGATATACTCTTCAGGACCAAAAGATCAGGCTGGGACAGTGAATACCAGAAAATGAAAGTCAGCTCTCCAGACCCTTCTTCAAAAAGCCTTTACACACTCTATGTGGTTGATCAGGTTTAGGAAACAATAGCAGAACTGCTAACAGAAACTACTTTATGCAGGGAGTGACCATGATGGAGATCATTCTCTGTCTACATTCTCTTGCAGCACTAACAGTCCCCAACCTGGAGGAACACTGCCAGTTTAGACAGTACTTCGCTTTTCAGGTAGATGCTGTGGTAGGTAGACCATGTTCAGTGAGTAAAACACCCAGACACAAACAGTAAGAAGGCTGTGGTACATCAGAGGAAAGATGTCTCTACCAACTATTGTACCAGTGTTAAAATGCTAAGAATTCGGCATAGTCTGTGAGACACTTTATCCTTATATCACTCAAGTCCTCTGGAAGCAGCTAGAAGCTCTCACTGGGTATGTTCACAAGTTGGTCAAAAGGCTACTGCCTTATTAAAGTGTGTGTGTGTGTGTGTGTGTTTTTTAAGCAGCTCCATTCTAACCCTCCCCTCCACCATGCTGCCCAAGGTCCAAAAAGGTTCTAGAACTGGGAAGAGCTGGGAAGTTTTATTATTTCAAAGAAATCCATTAGACTCAAGCAATGTGAACACTGCTTAAAATAGCAAAGGTTAAAAGCTGACTTCCAGAAATTTATCAGGATAGAAAATGAGCTAAGCCTATCTTGGAGAGGAAGGCAAAAATATACCCCTCTCCCTGTTTCCCATACACCCCTGCTTTTAGTAACATCACTCTGCTTTCCATAGCCTTGGCCTCAGATTAGACACACTCTGCCCTACAGACCTGTACTAATGCCAAGGACAGCCAGGACTTCCCAGGGACATATGAACAAGGAGAGCTAGTCAGAAGAAAAAGTTGCTTCTCAAGTTTTTAAAGTTATCTTCATAAAGATATAAACAAGTATTGAATGAAAACATTATATTGTGCACAAATAAAATAAAAAACTTCTAAAGAGACTCTTGAACCTGTTTTAAAAAGAGAAATATATCCATATCCCTCTAACTAGCACAGCAAGGTTCACAGAAACACATCTGTACACATATTTACAATGCACGCACACACACACACACGCACACATATATATATTAAATTATAATTTTGTCACAATTGGGTTCTTCACTTCCTTTGACTTGCCCTGGCCAGGGCTGCATCTATAGAGCAGGACAAGGACTCATAAACCCAGCTTCTGTTTGGCCATCGAGGAACGGAGCTGTAGAGTCCCTTCCGCCCATGACCCTGGGTACTGTCGCATCTTCTGCCACAGGCTCACTTCTTCCCCAGTCGAGTCCATCCAGTCCACCACTTCCCCATTACTGATCCCTGGGGAGAAATATCAGAGGAGGCTGAATGGGAGCTCCACCCCTTGGCCCACCAGGCAAGTCGGGTTACACAGCAAGGGCAGCCACCCCATAAGAGATAGTCTGGTGCAGAGATGGGCTGAGGGGGACAGCAGTGTAGAAAGTGCTTCCTGTTGATCCTGTACAGGTATGTCTTAGCTCCCTGAGACTCTATCGAGTGACCTCTGGTTGGTGAAATGGGGCTCCAGTTGGCACACATTCACCAGAGATTTCTGATGCTGAGACTGCAACAGGGCTCTCGCATCTGTCCGCTCAGGCCAGAGCTATGGCCCTTCTGTTATTGCAACTTGAGATAACAGAAGCACAATAAAACACAGCTACATACGTTTCCCCCAGCAGTAGACTCCAAGCCTGAAGTTGGCATTGGATGCGGCCTTGTTCAAGTTCCTTTGTGCATTCATTCATTCACTCAGCAAACATTTGTTGAGCATCTACTGTGTGCCAGGTACTCTTTAGGTTCTGCAGACACCATGGTGCACAAAGCAGAAAAGGGTCCCTACCTTTAGGCAGCCTACACTTAATCAGGAAGAACAGTAAAGACACAAGCAAACCACCAAGAGTGTGGGGAGTGTGTGATTCTTATTACAAAGTAAATAAATAGCGTGAGTGCTAGTGCCTGCATTAGGACCCAGTGAAGATGGAGTAGTTGGGGGACTGCTGGGAAGAGGGTGTTTGAGACAAGACCTGAAGAAGATAATAAGAGCCTGTGCTAGCAGCCAGCAGCAACAGTTAATTGCAAAGGTTCTGAAGTGGGGATGAACTTGGCAGACGCAGAGAGCAAGTCAGCATGGTGTGGTCAGAACCTAATGAGCAAGTGTAGGAGGGGTCCCGGACGGCTCAGAAAGGGAGGCAGCATTCAGGTAATACAGAGGGGCATGGGCCTGGCACAAACTTCAGACTGTTTTCCACATAGGAAAGGAAGAATCCACCGCACAGTTTTAAGCAGGGTGCCCAGACTCACCCACAGAAAAACATAGCTCTGGGAGCTTGGTACTTTATGTTTTGTGTGAGTTATTGATATACAAGAGGTAGTTAGGGTCATGAGAATACACAGACTGGATAGGGTAAGGAAGAGGGTCCAGGACTGAGCTGTGAGAGGGACCACCATCCAGGATGTGAACCCAGAGTAAGGAGCCCATACAGCAAACTGAGAAGGGGGCAACATAGAGACTTAAAACAGAATCAAAAAGTGTAGTATCACCAGGAGCTAAGTATTCCCAGAAAAGTAGTGTGATGTGCTATGTTAAAACAGTGCTACAAATCCTAGGAAGATGAAGACACTGCTGGGCATAACCAAGTGCTCTGCACAGTGGTGGGGTACAAGCTGGATCACAATGGGTAAATAACAAAAGGAGAGGTAAGGAAATGGAAGCAATTTGTCTAAAGAAGTGAGAGGGGAGAGCTACGGTTGAGGGAAGAGTTTTTGTTTTGTTCAGGATGAGTGGAAATAACAGGGCATATCTGTATTGACCTCTGTCAGGGAGAGAGGATCAAGCTAACCACGTGATGGAGGTCACCAGCCAGGGGAGGTCTGGTTCACACACTTAAGAGAGAGCTTGGCCTCTTTTAGCAAAGACAACCCTTCCGTTATAAGCAGACAGAAGATTTGGAAATTAAAGGCACACATAAATAAGCAGGTTGTAGGGCTTTAAGTGGGCAGATTATAGAATGCCTTGCGATCTAGGTCACATTTCCCTCTACACATAACATTGCCTAAGTTCAGCCTTCCCCTCAGCCTGGCACACAGTAGCCACTCACTAAGTGTTTGCTGGGTGTCAACTGAAAGAAGATGCCTATTGTCACAGAGGAGTTCTGTGAGCGAGGGGGCGCTGGGAGAAGGGAGGTGTTGGAACTGAGTCAAGAAGCCCTTGAGACAAATAAGGAGGTGGGGAGAGGCTCTCACCAGTGCCAACCCCAAGCCGGACCCCTCCCAGGAAGTCATTGCTGGCCAGGGGTTCCCGGTCCCACACAGTCAGTTCCAGGCACATGTGTTGTAGATCTTCCAGCCTCAGACCATTGTAGACAAATGTATGGTTGTAGTGGGGATTCAGGGTCTTCTTCACCACGGGGGTTTTACGCTTACTGGCCTTGGTCCTCAGGGGCAGGAGATATCTGGCAGAGGGTGGGGAAGAGTCAGCAGCAAACTCAAAGCTGCTCCCAACTGTCTTAAAATGCCCTCTCCCTGCCTGCAGGCCTAATTCAGCAAGGTGAGTCAGCACCCACAGCCTAAGGCACACACCCCCTTCTGCCTCGGCTGAGGCAGAGCGCCTACTATCTACTAGATAATGCACCTCATCCAATTCTTGTCACCTGGAGAGAAAATGAAGGCGTTAGTGAGGTCGCTGTCTGTGCCCCACCGAAAACTGGGTTTTAACTATGTCATTCTACTGCTACCCGGTTAAGGCTCTCTAAATAAAACCAATAGTAGCATGTACAGGCTTAACCGAACACGGTTTGTGAATGGGTGATCCATAATCTGGGGAGAGCAAGCAACATTTCAAAATTGCGGGGGAATAAAGTGCATGATTCTCAAATCTACAGTCAGGAGACACAGGGATTTACCCAGAAGTCAGAGCAGGGTGTTCGAGAAAGACCAGTGCACATCTGGTTAGCACCTTGCTTTATGTATAACAAAGCCCCAGCCATTCCAAATTGGGCTCAGACCAGTGCACAGGTGGTGGTGGAGGCAGTACCATGACAGAATTGCAGCAATCAAGCGAACCAAGCTGAGTGAGGGTTGTGGGGGGACACACCAGGGTATTATCCCCACGCAAGGGTTAAATCAGGATCCTCTCTTAGCTTTCCTGTCCTGGAACAGTTGGTTAGTTTGGCGCTGCTCCAGGGACTCACCCCTTGACAAAGCTGTCTGAAGTCCCTCCTGATTTGGCAGCCGTCAGGTTCTTGGCTTCTTTGATCCACACCTGGAGTTCTCCCCCTTCCCCACCTTTACCTGCAAAGGACGTCAGCCATAGCAAGTGAGCTGCTATACCTCTGGATTAGTCCTGAGCTCTAGCTCTACAGCACTCTCTTTCCTTGCTCCTGGAGACCACAGGCTCCATCAGAACTTGAGGCCAACTTGACTTGTATCATCAGTACCTAGCACAGTGCCTGACCATAAGCAATAGGTGCTCAGTTAATCATGACCACAGTAGCAATAAAGACTAAGTGAAAATAGGAGCAGGCTAAGTGCCAGATACTACTTTAAGCAGTGAATTCTCAAATCAACCCTACGGGATATGCACTGTTTTTGTCCTTATTTGATAGGTGAAAAAATACGGATGCTTAAAGCAAATAAAGTTGCTGATATTTTATTGGATGATTAAAAAAGAGAGAGAGAAAGAGACCTTTCCTCTTGAGTTCTTTCTCCTGTCCTCGCCTCACAGCACTCACCTAGAAGCCACAATTTCAACCCGCTCCTCCCTTTCTAATTATTTCTTTCTGCACCACTCCCTTCTCTTCAGTCTAAATGTATGCCTATCTCGCCTGTTTTTCCAAAAGGAAAACATTCTCTGAAAATAAACCTTTCTTTCCATCTTATCTCTTCTTCAGGTTCTTCTTGATGCGTCTCCTTTCTTCCACTATCAACTGCCCTGGAAAACATCCATACTCACCAGCTCTATTTCGTTGCCTCAACCACTCATTCCAATGAAACCGGGTTCCTGCCTCAACTAAAGCACTGAAAATGCAATGCAATCGCTATGTGCGAGTCTGCCCAGCCTTCACCCTCCTGCCTCCCTGGCTCCCTGCTCCCTTATTCCTGAAGCTCTCCTGTAATTTCTCTCCCCTGCCATCATTCTACTTCACTGTCATTTCTTTTCTCTTTACATGTGTCACTGTTGCTCTTTCCCATGGTTCTATAACTTCTCTAGTCATCCCACACACCCTTCTTTATGGATCCCATTGATGCCTGAAGTCATTAGACCAGGCTAAAAGTCTATTTTTGAAGAGCTCTACCTTTATGTGGCCAAAGAACCAAGTTAAACTTCTTAGTACTGCACCCAGGCCCCTGTCAATTGATCCCTGACCTAAGCTCCAAGTGCAGCCCCCTGCCATGTATGTGCAAAACTGCAAACCACTGAAACAAGGGGTCAGTCCCTCATGCTCCCACATCCCCCAGGCCTGCTAAAGTGTCAGCATGTGTGATCCTTTCTTCTGGAAAGACTCCTCTCTCCACATCCTTCTAGTGATACCCTCACATCCAGTTTGAACATGATTTCTTCTCCGAAGCTCTGCCAAAAAAATTGGGCAGAATTCATAACCCCACGTATCTACGTCCCTGTAGCACATGATTGCCTTTCTTGTTCAGTTCAGATGCTCAAAACAGAGCAAGTAACAAAGCTTCATCTCGTGCATCACCTACCCAGCTACACTCACTAGCACAGCCCTACCATGCTGAGTTACTCGTCTCTGGCCTGCCAGCCCCTACTCATTCTATTTGACTTGACCACCCCTTACAACTGTGATTTGCAGCACCCATATTTCTCTTCTGTCCTCATCATAACCTGCCATAGATGGACCCACACCCTGTCCATTCAATGGTCTTCAGAGAGAAAGGAGTGCCATCCCTAAGGTATTGCCTTCTAGTTGAAAAGTACAGGAAAGAATTCCTTGAAGCATAGACTCTTCCCTGGTCTAAGAAGCATCCCGATCTGGTCTCTCCACCAGTTGCTACCCCAGAGTCAGCAGCAGCCTCGCATAGACTCCATTGCAGAAGATCAAGAGCTAAAGCCAGGACCCCGAAGAAAACTCACTCTTTTTCCGGTCACCTCCAACAGGGAGTTTGGAGGCTGGGATGTATTTCAATGAAACCACCAACTCGCCTTTGTGTGATGGCAAGCCAGTCAGGGACTCAGCACTGACCTGAAACACAGGGAGACCCATCCTGTCAAGTGATGCTGCTCAGGCCCTGTTGTGGTCACTCCCTGAGTGCATTTTAAACAGTACCCCTGAGAACAGCTTCCCGGCAAAACAGGTTCCTACTCCTTGTGAATAAATACAATCCAGGGTCCTCAAACCATAGCTGCTGCATGCGTGCCAGGCAGTGTCTCCAGGAGGAGACTGGCAGAGAGAAAACCAAGGGTCCTCTGCAGTCCCTACTAGCCCGGTGCTCTGGGGTCGATGGATTCCAAACACACTCAAGGGTCTTCCAGCAAGGTTGCCACCCAACTCACAAAAGACTGACAGCCACCGTGCTGAAGGATCTTTCCATGAGCACTGTTAGTAATCGCCAGAAAGTGGAAGCAGCCTAAAAGCCAATCAACATCAGAAGGGTCATGTGAGTGATTTCAACGTCCTCGTAAGGCATGTGGCAGGCAGTCGTCAGCAAGAATGCAAGCGATCCCCACGTGTTGGCATGGAAAGATACCCAAGACATTCTGTTAATCAGACAAAGCAGTGTGCAGAGAAGACATCCCACTTAACCTAAAAATCTAGGCATATCTACGTGACTAAGTATGCATGTGAGTTGGTGTCAACATCACACCTATTCAGCACTCACTATGCTCCAAACACTGTGGTAAATGCTTGAGAAGACTCCTTCTGTTCAGTATCTGAGATACCCCCTCTGAGATAGGTACTATTATCACCATCTTACAAACTATGCAATAGAGAGATGAAGTAACTTGTCCAAGATCACACAATGACTAACTGAAAGATGACGACTCAAATGCAGACAGGACCTGATTTCACCATTGTGCTGCACTGCACAGAAAACCCTAGACGGATGCTAATTTGGTGCTTGTTTTCACTAGGGAACAGAGCTGACTAGGGAAAAAGGGCTTTCCCTTCTTCTTTTATTGTAACAGCAACCGTGGCTTTTAAAATGAGAATGGCATGTATCACGTGTATGGTTTCTAAAGAAAAACAATATTTTGTCTGGCTGACTTGTAACAATTTGAGGGCTAGGTGGACCTCTTACAGGGATTCGAAAATGCCATAATTCTCCATGTTAGTTCCTCACATTATGTCTGAGTAATTGTTGTCTTCACCACCAGAATCTAAGTGCTAGGAGGATAAGCCAAGTGCAGTTGCGTTCATCCTCGTCTGCTGAACATTTATCAAAGCATCTAGAACATAGCAGGTGCTCCACAAATATTAGCATAATGAGCACAAGAGTAGACGATGGGCATCTGGGGTGAGCAGTGTGTGCCCTGTCATCTTTCATGTTGAGAGGCAGAATTGCTTTTCCCTCTGTTGGGTCCTTCTGCTGTGACTCTGTTCTTAATGCTTTGGCAGCCAGTGCATGGCTGTAGCAGAAGTGCCCATTCACCCGCCTGTGTTCATTGGCCTGGGCCCTTACCACTGGACACACCTACATTAGCAATGCACAGTCCCCATAGTTCTGCGACAAGCACCACATACCCAGGTGACATAAGGTTTAGTATAGAGGAGAGATACAAAAGTAGCAAGAGGTGGATCCCAGAGGGTGAGAACCAAACGGGCCAATTGTATTTCTAAGGCAAAGAAAAAAAAAAGTCAAACGCTTTTAGCTAAAATAGATAATAAGTTGGAAATAGTATTTTGTCATTTATAAAAGTTCACACGATTTATTAACTTCTGGGTTGTGAACTTGAGCAGATTCGTAAAAGAAACAGTTTAGCTTTAGCTAGACATTAGCATATTTGTTTCAGTACCTCATTTGAATTCTGGCTGAAAAGGACCTGCAAAGCACAAATACCCCCAGTTTAACACAGCTGCCGATCAATGGGAGTCACGCTAGCTGGCCGCAGCTCTTGGGGTTTCCAGTGTTTTTGTTCTTTGAAGGCCAACAGCCAGCAAGGTACTAGATATACATTTCCTTTGATTCAGCAATTCCATTACTAGGAAGCTCTCCGAAAGTTCCATTCACAAAAGAAGGCCCAGATATACCACAGCAGCATTTTACAAGGAGATAAACATGGACGCAGTTAAAGGCCAATTAGTGAGGGAGTGGCAAATAAATGACAATAGAGGGACATGGCAGAATGCTATGAAAAGTGAAAACGTGCTAGATCTGTAAGTGATGACCTAAGAATACCCATGATAAACTGGAAAATTTAAATAATCAAGAAAAACAATAAGGTTCAGGTGAGCCTATTTGTGCAAAAAAAAAAAATGCTTATGTGTGCTCATGTGTTTGAAATCTACTTGTGCTGCTTCATATAAGACTTCTAAGCTATCCACGCAGTGTCAAAATGTCTAGTTCCAAGGAAAGGAACTTACTTCCCTTTGGGAAAAAAAAAACACTATATATTGGTTTCATTTTGAACCATATGCATGTATATCCTCTTATTCTTCAGTTCCAAAGTGGTGTATGTGGCAATCACCCACCCTGCCACTTCAGTTGCCCTACCTAGAAGCACCCACCGTACTGAGTTCTATCTTTCCAAAAGTATTCTATGTGTCACATTATCGTCTTAAACATTGAAAATGCTACTAGGAAACCACTTTAAAGAAAAACTTGACCATTGTACAGTTCGGATCATTAAGAAGCTGCTGACCGAGTTCTGTTGTAGCACTTTCAACGCAACCAGGCTTGTTGAATGTCTGCTCTGTGCCAGGCTCTGAGTGCCATTTTGTACATAATCCTGAGGAACACTGTTTTCTCCATCTCCTGCATGAAGAAACTGAGGTCCCCAGAGGTTTGGGGGTGACTTTCCTAAGTTATTTATGAGTTAGGTGACTCACCTACTGGGCAAGTGGCAGAGCCAGGATTTAATGCAGGCCTGCTTTCGGATCCCAGGCACGACTAGGCCACACTGCTGTACTCTCACCCGAGGCACCACCATGTTCAAAGTCAAATTTTCCCTGCCTGTGTAACCAGTAATACAGCCACGGAGCCCCATGAATTGCTTTACTTCCCACTGCCTCAGCAGCATGGTTAGCTTGGAAAAGCAGTATAGATTAGAATAGACCCCCGCGGATTACCTTGGAAAAGAGGTGCAAGTTAGCAAGTTATAAAACAGGTTGTGGAAGACTAGGAGGCAAAGCTCGTTGCACATATGAAAGAGTTTCTCAAAGCAAAACCAAGACTTCACACTTTTTCTGAAGACTTCACACTTTCACACTTTTCCCATTCATGCTTAAGTGTCTCTAGAGCTGATGTCAAACTCAGAAACACCAGCAGGGTGCGCTAGAACTCCACATAAAAATACACACAAAGACATTACCATCACTGAGCAGCAGAGGCCGCTGCAGATAATGCTACCTCTGATCACACTGCAGAAGTTGTGAAAAAGCTGACTACCTTTCCATGCAAAGGGAGGCAATGATTCAGTTTCTTATCAACCTTCCAGGAATCCATCTGGATCTCTGCCTCTCCCAGGAAAGTGTTTCTTCCGAAACGACCATGGTGCCAAACCGAGAACTGCAAGGTCCTCTGGGCCAGGAGAGATTCTGGGATCTCATACTGTGAAGGCAAAAGTGGAAGCCAAGGGTGATTAGTTAGGTGCATTTCACAGAAACGGTGATTCCAAACCCGAACAGCAAAACATTGTAGTTCCTAAGCCCTTGTGAGTTTCCTCACTCAAAACCTCAACTGAGCTCATCTGAAAGAAACCTACCATCAGAGGACCTGGAGATTGAGTTCATTTTTTCCTTAAATAAGTGAGAGTACAATGGTAAATCCCCAAAGTACCATCAAGGAGACTCCTTACGCCACATGACGTTTTAAGGAGAGATTTGTGGCCACGTCAATGTCCAGCTTCACAAGAATGTGGAAGAGTTCGCCTTCATTCTCTCCTCTGGGAGATCAGATGGGAGCAGATGCCCAGAGCAGTTCTCAAATGCAGATGCTGTCTGCTGAAAGCCATGTCTAGCGGCCGGGGCGCAGAGCGCAGGTGCAGCTCAGGGCCAAGACAGGGGAGCTCTCCTACTCTCGGGGGCTCCATACTCACCCTGAGGAATTCATCATAGAGCGGATTGATGGTGTCCCGCTTGATGCTGGTTTTCCTTTTTCCTTGGCGGGACTTGTCAGGCAGCAGGTAAGTCTTCACATACCTGGAAAAATCCAAGCGAGTGCATTTGTTGTCCTTTCCCCGGTGCATTCTTAAAAACTTACCAGGGTGAGATGCCATGTCCAAAGGGGGTCACATCAAGCCCTCTGAGACCTGCCCTACTTGCTCTTCCCCAATCCTGGGTCCCTTCTTCATACTTCCCTGTGCTCCCAGGAAATGTGAAGCTTGCTCCAGGGTGCCCCAACAGATACCAAAGTCTCGCCTCTCATCTCAGAGCCTCGATCAGGCTTCACAGGGACTCACGGGTTAGAGCGCTTCTTGGCGTCATCGGCGTAGGCCAGCTGCTGGCACTCCTTGACATGGATAAGCAGAGTCTGGGTGCGCTGCTCATACTTCAGGGAAAAAGCGATCTTGCCCGTCACGGAGACGTTGCCGAAGTCACCAGCTTCACTATAGATGCTCATCATACTGCCGATCGTACTCTGAAATGAAAGCACCCACACACCTCGGGGAAAAGCCTGCTTCGCTGCCTGCATCGCTCATCACATCTTCCCTGAGCAGAACGCCAGAGTCACTGAACATAACCGATGCCCTTGAATCTGCTATACTGGGCCAGCAAGGCCAGCAGTACTGCACCCAAAGCACAGGAGACAGTCCCGATTGCCCATAGTCCCAAATCAGCTCACGGTTCACCATGGCCCTTAGGTTCTCATTTCCCCCGCCCCTCATTACACACATTTTATTGTTCATTTTCACCTACACCAGGAGGTGGGCAAGCAGGAGAGTTAAGATGCAGCTAAGTCCATTTGTATTATGTTACATATCAGAGGGCTTCAAATAATTTGTGGGAAAATGAAGTCAAAACATAATGCAAATTTCCCATGAGCATTTTGTATACTACAATGTTAGCAAAAAAGGCTCAGTTACTGGCTGAAACAAGCTGCCTTCATTATCCATAGATTTCTTTCAGTCATCAATGTAAAGACCTATAAGATAAAGAGATTGGGCCATAGCTGGGAGTGGGGTGGGACGAAAACACCACCGGAAGTGCAAGGCACTTTGCTCACCAGCAGTCATCCGTTCTATAAGCCCGATGCTCCCTTCCCGTGTGTGAGCACATACACACACCCATTGCCCCTGCACCTGACTCGATTTCCCCTAAATATCCACCTGCGAACTTATGACAAAACTAGCCTCTGGCTCGTATCTGCCCCTTTAACTTTATGAGCTTAAACTGGTGTCATTGATCCTCACCAGAGCCCTTCCCAATGGCACAGAAATAGATGTCCCTCACTTACCTGGAAAGAGTGACTAGGATGTTGTCTCAGGTCCTAAATTCGCTCTAGAGGGGCTCTTCTTGGCTTCCTCTTGCCCCGACATGTCTCTAAGCACAGGACTTTGGTAACTTACCACGGATGAGCCACTTTGCATGCTACTCCTGGCCAGTTTCTGGCGGTGCAGCTTCACCAGGTGGTCAATGTCTTCCTCCTCTTCTTCCTCTTCCTGGAATGATGCAGATTCAGAATCAATTTTAACAATAAACAAAGATTCAAAGACTAATGGCTCTGCTTTAGTGGGCACCGTAACCATTGCGGAACTTGGAGGTGTCACATGCTATGTATACACATATCCCTTTTATCCATCTCTCCATTTCCAGCTTTCCCCCTTTTGTTCGTTCTCTTGGCTCAAAAGAATAAAATAGGGGTGGGAATTTGGTACAAGTGGTTCACATGCCACTTGAGATACCCACATCCCATGTCACTGTGCTGGGTCTGAGTTTTAGTTTCTCAGATTCCAATTCACTTTTCTGCTAATATACACCTTCAAAGGCAAAAAATGATGGCTCAAACACTTGAAACCCTGCCACCCACATGGGTAACCCAGAATGAGTTCCCAGTTCCAGCCTTGAGCCTGGCCCAGCCAAGGCTACTGCAGACATCTAGGGATTAAGCCAGCAGATTTTGATATCTCTCTCTCTCTCTCCATCCTTCTCTCTCTCTCTCCACTTTTCAAATAGGACATCCAACCTATCTGCACCTTTACATTTTCAACAAAAGAAATTGTTATTTGAGCCCTCACCCACACAACAGTTCATAACAAATGGAATTAATGTAGTGGGGAAAATTTGGCATGTTGACTAAGACAGGGCTTGGGAAACCTGCATCCCATAGCGGAGTGTCTGGCTTTGAGCCCCAGCTATGTGATTCCAGCTTCTCGTTAATGGTGCCCTGGAACACAGCAGGTAATGGTGGAAGTACTTGGCTTCCTGCCAACAAAGTGAGAGAGCCCGAGTTCCAGGCTCCTGGTTTCAGCCTAGCCCAGCGCAAGCTGTAGTGTGTATTTTGGGAAATAAATTGGCAGGTGGAAGATCTCTATCTCTGTTCCTTTCAAATAAATATAAGTAAATAAATAAAGATTTCTTAATGAAATTAAAAGAGGAATCTATTTTGGTGCAAAAGTTTGAAATCCATGCTTACAAGAGATGTTCAGAAAGTTTTTGGAAATTGCATATGAAAAATGGGATTTTAAATATTTTTGCTCTAAAACAAATATCTTTTTAAAAAGATTTATTTATTTTTATTTGAAAGGCAGATTTTACAGGGAGAGAATGACCACAATGGCCAGGGCTGAGCTAAGCTGAAGCTGGAAGCCAGGAGCTCCTTCCAGGTCTCCCACTTGGGTGCAGGGTCCCAAGGACTGGGGCAATCTTCCTCTGCTTTTATCAGGCATTAGCAGAGAGCTGGAACAGAAGTGGGGCAGCTGGGACTGGTATGGTGTACCATCATTCTGGTGCCCACAAGCCTCTTTTAATCCCACTTTCCAAGAACTGTTGAGGTACTTCTCACATATCAAGCAATATATTAGGAGACAAAAGGAAAAGCAAGCAATCTCCTCCCCCGCCCCCCCCCCCGTTTAAACAACTATAGAACTGAATTAGTCTGGGGGAGTTAAGATTAATGTTGCCTTTTTCTAAGAATTAAACAAGTTGCTTCAGAATATCAGTACTGAATTCACCTGTTGATAAGTCAGATTTCATATAGGTACCAAGGGAAATGCTATGAAGGGCACTTACCACATCCTCACTCAGGCCTGGCACAGATTGGCTTCTGTCCCCCAAGGAGCCACTTTCATGCTCCACATCTCCAGGGCGAAAATCAATCACAGACTTAGTGTATTCTGAGTGGAAGACCAAAAAACCCAAATCAAAGGAGAGCTCCCATCCTTTATACCAAGCTAACATCAAAGGTACTCATAACTTTTGTCCCAAATGGACATGAAGGGCAAGCAGCTACCTGAAGGCCTGAGGACTTTTCTGGTGTTCTTCTTGAATATCATTTCACCCTCATCAATAGATACCACATTTTGACCCCCAGGCTGAGTTTCCTAGGAAGCAATAAGGGGAAGGGAATGGAAAAGGCCAACTGGGTGGACAGTGGCATAGGAGAAAGGAATGAGTAAAGGAGGAGAGAGACTAGGGGGGATAAGGCTCAGACTTGTGCTAAACTATAAGAAACTTACCGGAAGGATTAAACACTCTGAAATATTAAAAAAAAATTTACTCTCTTAGGTTGCAATCAAACTCTTAGAAAACTATTTCCAAGTGAACCTGAACTGAAATTTTTTAACCTGAATTTTCTGACTTAAATTTTGCCTAAGAAAGAGAAAGGAGGGAGGGAAAGGAATGAAGGAAGGAGGCAGGCAGGCAAATAACCTGAAGCTTACCTTTTCCACTTGAGTTTTGGGGACACACATCTTCTTCCATTCTGGAAAAAGGCCAGATTTATCCAGTGAGTCCGTCCTGGAGGTAGATTCAGAAGTTGTAAGTAAGTTATACCCTCCCCTTCCCCTTCTACCCAGAGGCAAAAGCTCTATGGAAGAAGAGCCACCAGCTTTGGGTCATCGTGGGAACCAAATCCTGAAGGTACACTTCACTTCTCACTCCTTTGAAAACATGCAAAAGATCAAAAAGATCAAATAAGCAACATTTCTCAGACACATTCATGCCACAAAAAAAGGGCCAGGGGCGGGGCGGGGGGAAAACAGCACTAGCTGATACTGGGCTAGGCACAATCCTTCAGGGTACAGCAACCTGGGGGAATTTTTAAAATTTATTACAGATGTCCCATCCGTTGATTCATCTGCCTCCCCCTAAAATTTCCACAACAGTCAAGGCTGTGCCTGGCCAAAGTGAGAAACCAGGATCTCAGTTTGACTTTCTCATGTCAATGGCAGCAACCCACATACACAAACCATCACTGCTGCCTCCCAAGGTGCACATTAGCAGAAACCCAGAGTCAGCAGTTGATGCAGGGAATTGAATCCAGGCAATTTCATGTGGATATGGGTATCTTATTCACTGAACCACACACCTGCTCCATCCCGGGTAAATTATTTCAGGAAGCTCTCTCCAGAGCCAAATCCATAGAAGTGCTGCAGAAAAACTTCTAGTGAGATTAGAGAATAGATTTCATTTGGCTTCCTGAGGACAAAAAGCTGGAAAACTGAAGCAAAGGAATGTTGCATCCAGGGGCTGGAGACCAAAATGGGAACTCTGAGATGAAACAGAGATGAGAGAAATCAAGGACTCTCACCTGGAAGTGCTATCTGAGTCAGCTGTGTAGCTATCCAGGCTTTCGCTCTCAGCTTCCAGGGCACTCTTCCCACTTTTCAGCTTTGGTACTTCAAATGGCACACTGAAATAAAAGCCAAGAGCCAGTGCTTAAAGGAAGCTGGATCCCCTGCCTTTACGCTGGGCTACTTTTAGCCCAATCACAATGTGACCTCAAGTGATCTTTCTAAAATAAATCTGGGTACACTTTTATAACTCTCCAGGAGCTCCACATTGCTATTGAGGTGGAGTTCAAACCCATTTGCATGGCAAACAATCCTTAGGATTTGTCCCTGTTCACTTCTCCAACCCTATCTTCTACTCCACTCCTCCCCACATTTTCTATAACACAAAAATAAAGTTGTTTTGATCCCTTGAATATCCCCAACCTCCCCCTCTTTCCATGTTTTATTTGTGTGGGGTGTTCTTTTCATAATGGCTGCTCTTCTTCACCTGCCTCAGTCTACTTCAACTCTTTCACGATGTGTCAATCCCTCCCATTGCTCTGAGCACACTCTCATTCCGAGTCTAGATGAGTAACCTTCCTACGTGACTCCCAGAGCACCTGATTTCTTAGTACCAGTAATCACATATGTAACTATTAGACTATCTCTTTTATACAAATAATTTAATTTGTTCGGTAATTTAAATGATCTGTTTAATGTCTTTCTTCTCCATTAGATTAAATTATAAAATGCTAGTGACCACATGTCACGTTCACAGCTATGTTCCCAATGCCAAGAAGAGAGACTAGTGTGGAGTAAACATCCAAAGATTCGATGAGCAAATTCTTAATTTAATACCCTTAGTGTAAACCTAAAGTTGTGGTGCAGGGGGTTAGGTTGGCACCTGTGACCCCAGCATCCCACTTTTCATCCAGCTCCCTGCTAATATGCCTGGGAAAGCTGAAAAAAAAAATACTTGGACCTCTACTAACGATGGGGGTGGGAGATTTGGATGGCATTCCAGATTCCTGGGTATGGTCTGGCCCAGTCCCAGTCATTGCAGCATTTGGGGGTGAACCAGTGATCTCTGTGCATCTATCCTTCTCTGTAACATTTTCAAACAAATAAGTAAATATCTTAATGAGGCTTAAGCATATCTGTGGATTAGTAGCTTGTCTTAAAGATAGTATTCCGAGGACCAAAATCTTTTTCAGTTTAATGAAGGATGACTCTGAGCATTCAAAACAGCAGTCCTCATCTATAAAGGGAAGAACATAATTCCTGGGCCTCTTACCCCAAAGAATTAGTGAGAACAGCAGAGAAGAGGGGAAGAGTTCTTAAGTGTCTCAAGTAATATCCCTTGGCTCCCACGATATTACACGCCCATGGTTTTCCCCTCCAACCACACTGGCGGCCCCATCTCAGTCTCCTTTGTTTCTCGTTTCCCTTCTCCCAATCGGTACATCTTTGGACTCTGTCCAAGCTTCTCTCTTGGGCTGCCTCACTTCTCTATATAGAATAATCTCTAAATGATCTCAGCTAGTCTCATGGCTTTAAATATCCTCTGTAAACTAATAACTCAACTTTATCTCTTATTCAAACTCCACAACTTTGTTTCCCAATGGTTTACTCAATATTTCCAGTTGGACATCTTAAATATAGAAAGCCTAAGATCTAAATTCTAATTTTTCCCCAAAACTGGTGTTTCCTTCAGCCTTGGCAAGTTTCAGAAATTTCTCAGGACAGCCATCTCAAGAACTACCCTTGGCTCCTCTTCCTCTCCCACCCTGACCTCCCTCCTCTCCTCCATGCCTTTTTCTCTATTTTCCAAATTACATCTGTCCATAAATCCTCCTGGCAATACAGTTTCATGTATATCTACCATCTGATTAATTCCCATTCCCTGCATTGCCATTACTCCAACCCAGATCGCCATCATCTAACAGCAACTCTTGTTCCTTCTTTCCTTGTTTCTAAAATAGTCTCATAACAGCAAAAAGGAGCTTTCAAAATATCAGCCAGACATGGGAGCTAGCAATTTCATTTCCAGGTATATATAGCCAGCACATGTTTACATTAAGATTTTTATATGAATGTTCACAGCAGCATTATTCATAATAGCCACAAAGTATAAGCAACTCAAATATCTATCAATGAATGACTAGACAAACAAAGCGTAGTATGTATGTGTATATACATAGAATGGGATATTATCTGTCCGGATGGGGGAATGAAGCTCTGATTTGCACCACAACATGCATGAATCTTGAAAACAGCATTCTAAATGGGGGGGGGGGGCGGGAAGCCAGTCACAAATGCCACATTTTATCTGACTCCATTGCTATGGCATGTCCTGAATAACAGATATACCAAAGAAGAAAGAAGGTTTTGGGGGTGGGGAAATTGGAACTGATTGCTTAATGGGTTTAAGGTTTCTTTTGAGGGTGAAAATGTTTTAAATTTACAGTGATGGATGTACAACCTTCTGAGAGCACTAAAAGTCCCCAAACTGTACAGTTTAATTTTTTGAAATGATGATTTTGTATTATGTGACTTTTACCTCATTTCTTTTAAAAGAGGAAAAATAAGATAATGTTGTTCAGAGTCATCCCTCCCACTCAGGGTACAAAACAGTCCTTACAGTGCCAACAAAGTCTTGCATGCTCTCACACCATCTTTGTGCTGCTCTAATTCCATGCAGGCCCCACCCCCTTGGTCACTCAGTTCAGTTACTCCTAAGTACCAAGCACACACTCTATGTAAATCAGCTGCTTCCTCTGCTCACAATGATCTTCCCCTGGATACCCTTAGGGCTTGTTCTCTTATTTGCTTCATGTCTTTGCTCAAATGTCACCTTATTATTAAGAACTGGCCTGGCTATCCTAAAGAAAACACTATATGTACACACATGCATTCCTGGCACTCCCTATCCCTTTAGCCTACTTAATTTTTTCCATACCACTTGTCAACATCTGATAGGACATGTTCACTTAATTATTTTCTCTGTTCCCCATTCCCCAAATCTAAGTTCCACAAGCAAGTAATCTTTGTGTATTCATCAATGTATCCCAGAACTGAAAACAGTGCCCGACACAAAGTTGGCACTCACAGATATTCTTCAAACAAACCAACAAGTTAATAAATGAACAAAGGAAGAGGTAACCAAAATCTATAGTGTCCTAGCCAGTAGAGAGCAAACTTTCCAAGTGTCACATGATGTATGAAATAGTTCTGTGAAAACAGACAGAAGGGGTGGAAGCCTAGAGTATTTAAGAAGTGAAACAGTAAGTGTTCCCTTGAGAGATGTATTAGCTTTATAACGTAAGGCACAGCAAACAGTTTAATTTCGATATGCATTTTTTAAACTTCATATTCATTCTATTTTCCTCTTTGATACAAAGAAAAGTAAACCACAAGTGGAACCATTTTTCTAAAGACGTGATTTTACAATGGCTCATGAAGAGTGTTTTATGCTTGTATCTTTTCCTAAAGATTAATATGTCCTGATCCAGAGATGATACAAACAACCCTTGGGCAAAAAAAGCAATTATTTGACATCTGTGCAATAAAAAAGAGACTAAGATACGGGAGTCCTGGGCTCTGACTATCTGTATGATCTCAGGTAAATCACTTACCCTGCTTTCTTTCCTGTGAAAATAAAGGGGTTGAATTAGATTATCTCTGAGGCTCCATAATTTTATGGAAAGGATCATTTATGGGCACCTAATCTGTTTCCATGTTTAGGATAAATAAGAGTCCTCCGTGACCAATGAGACAAGTGGTCACAGACTGCCAGAAGCAGTGGGCTTTAGAAAATACATTCTGACTCACAATGTCAGATGTGTTAATCAGGTTCAGCAAATAAAATCCATTCTTATCCACAAAGGACAAAAAGGGGGCCTCATCACCTGGAACAGATGAGTCACGCACACAGAGCCGTGTGCACAAAATCACAGTTTATATATATATAATGAAACACTATACAGATAGCAAAACTAAAGAGTACATCCTTGGTGCTAACACAGCAATATAGTCACGTTGTAGTTTCCCCAAATTTGTTTCTCTCATATTTTGAGCAGTAACTGATACCAATCACCACAATTAAGTTAATGAGCCCATCATTCCCCAGAGTTTCTTTATGCCCCTCTAAAAATCCCTACATCTTAGGCTAGGACAGTGACATAATACACTAATCCTCTGCCTACGCTGCCAGCATCCCTTATGGACCCTGGTTCAAGTCAGGATCCCAATCTAGCTCCCTGCTATAGCTTCAGAAAGCAGCAGAGAGGATGGCCAGAAACCTTAGGACTCTGCACCCACATGGGAGACCTGGAAGAGGATTCTGGCTCCTGGCTTCTGATCAGCTCAATGCTGGCCTTTGTGGCCACTTGGGGAGTGAACCAGCAGATGGAAAATCTCTCTCCCCATCTCTCTCTCTATATATAGAACTCTGACTTTCAAGTTAAATAAATAATTTACAACAAAAATCCTGTACATTTCTCTCTAGCCCATCCCCAGGCCAGTGCTGTTCATTTTCTTAAATTTTATATAAATAGAATAACACTCTTTTTAAATTAGTTTCTTTCACTCAGAGTGATTATTTCAAGATTCTTGGATGTTGTGACATGTATCCACAATTCATTATTCCCCGTTGCTGAATGGTTTTCCATTGTATAAACAAACCAGAGTCCCTTCCTCTGTTGGTAGACATTTGGCTTCCTTTCAGTTTTAGGCTGTTAAAAACAAAGATGCAGTGGGCAACCAGTCTGACTGTATAGACATATACTTGCACACCTCTAGAAATAGCATGGCTGAATCATAAGGTACATTTGCACTGCACATTTCAAGATACTACTGAATTGGTTATTTTAAAGTGGCTACATCACTGTATATCACTAGCAGCAATGTTTGAGAAATCTTGTTTTAAATCCCCACCAACACTTGATAAAGTCAATTGTTTTCATTTTAGCAATTCTAATGGGCATGTAGTAGTATATTATTGTGAGTTTTTACTTTGCACTTACATAATGATAAGTGACACTAAATATCTTTTCATGTGCTTGTTTGACATCTGCATATTGTCTTCAGTGAAATGTCCATTAAAGCCTTCTGCCCATTCTCTATGGGGTTATCCAAATCAATCATTGAGACTTTTTAAGTCTTATCAAGTTTTTATTTAAAGGAGAGAATGACAGGGAAGAGAGAAAGAGAGAGAGAGAGAGACGCTTTCCCCTACATACTCATAACAACCAGGATTGGACCAAGCTGAAGTCAGGAACCAGAAGACTGGGTCATCCATCTGAGTGGCATGAATCCTAGTATTTGAGCCATCATCTGCTGACTCCCAGGGGGTACATTAGCAAGAAATTGGATTGGAAGTGGAGTGTCTGGATCCCAGACATTCTGATATGGAATGCAGGTGTCATAAGTGGTGGTTTAATCTGCTGTGTCATAATGTCTCACCAATTAATGTTTCTTTTTAAAATAGCATACCCAGGAAAGTCATTTAAAAAATATGTGCTCATCTATTTATTTGGTGAGGAATAATCTCCGCTATGCCGGTTTACTCCTCAAATGTCTGCAACAGCTAGGGCTCAGCCAGGCTGAAGTCAGGAACCAGGAACTCAGTTTGTATCTCCATGTTGATGACAGGGATCTAAATACTTGTGCCATTCACTGCTGCCTCTCAGAGTGCATATTAATATAAAGCTGGAATTAGGAGTAGAGCCAGGACTTGAACCGAGACACTCCAATATTGGGTATCTTCACCTCTGTGCAAAATAACCACTCCAATATCACTACATTTTCACTTAACACATATATAGCGTCATCCATGTTTAAACATAAAATTTAAAATTTGAGGAATCCATCTCATGTGAATACTACCTTGGTGGTCCAAATGTCAAGATTATTAATGATTAACGATAATTGTCAAAGGTAGAAGCAATGACATTAATAGAGGATTTTATATAGTTCTGTATTGTTTTCAACAATCACATGAAACATGATAAGATTATTTTCCGGGGCCAGCATTGCAGCATAATAGATAAGCCAAACACCTGTATTGCTATCATCCATATGAGTGCTGGTTTGAGTCCTGGCTGCTCTACTTCTGATCTAGCTCCTATCATAGTGCTTGAGAAAGCAGTGAAAATGGCCCGAGTTCTTGGGTCCCAGCACCTACGTGGGAGATTCAGAAAAAGTTCATGGCCTCAAGTACCAGACCAGCTACAGCTTTTGTTGCCTCTGGGGAGTGAACCAACAGATAAAAGATTGTCTGCCTGTTTGTCTGTCTGTCTCTCTCCTCTAGCCCACATCTCTGACTTTCAAATAAATAATTAAATTTAAAAAAAAAAATCATTTCCCTTTGGTTAAGGGAAAATTATGGGGGAAACTACACACACACACACACACACACACACACACACACACACACACACACAATGCAAAATATTCACCAGCAGTAACTGATGAGGCAAGGAATAAATCCTCAAATCATAAAGTTCAGAAATCCATGCTAAGAAAACAGAAGATTTGCCTTAGCATACATCATTCACGATTTCTTCAAACAAGGCAATGTATCAATTGAGTGGGCAATCCTGGAGTAAGCTAAAAAAAAACAAAACACCCAAGATTTGTAACTCCAGGTGTCACTGCAGAACCCCAAGAAACACAAAGATTTCCAGGGCATATGTCATCTTCTAGGACATGGATATGAGTGTAAGGATTCACCCAGAGTTGACACAACGATGCACTTGGATCACAATGATACAGGAAAGTCTTATGGCAAATAAGGAAAGAACTAATGAGGTTAATAAAGACTGCGTTGAGCCTTGCTAAGTTACTAAACTTCAAGAAAAAGAAAATTTTCAGGCAAATTCTCTCTCTCTCTTAAACACACACACACACACACACACACACACACACACACACACACACACACTCAAAATTACCTATCATGGAGAAAACAAGAGTCAAGTTGGCCTCAGACTTATTCACAGTTACATTCAGTGACAGAACACAATGAAGCAATGTCTAAAACATTCTGAAAGAAAACGTGACCCAGAAATATAATATCTAGCCAAGACACTGTTCAAGTATAAAGGTACTTGGCAGAAGTTCATAGAATGAAAGAATGTGAAACATATTTCAAGTTCTTCTTGAAAGAACTTGTCAGTGGTGAAAATCACACAAAAGAAATAAATCAAAGCGAAGGATTCAGGAGTAGTAAAGCAATGGTACAAGCTCTGGCTGTAAATGTATAATTCTTTCAAACATGAAACTAAAGCTACACAGATAAAAAAAAGGTGATGGTTGCATAACAGAATATAAATGTGATGAACCTTTATAAAAATTTGAGTAACAAATATTAGGAATAGGAAGAAAGGACTGAAGTAAAGTATAAAAAGCTACCCACTTCCTTTTTCACAGCACAATGCTCCAATAATGCTTAATAATGAAACAGAGTTTAAAAATGACAAACTGCCGCAACCATTACAGCATATTACAGCATAGAGGGTTAATCTTCCACTTAGGACACCAGTACCCCATATCAAAGTGCCTGAGATAGATATGCTTCCGATCCAGCTTCCTGCTAATGCACACCCTGGGGGCAGAAGCTGGTGGCCACCCATAAAGGATACCCACATGGAGTTCCTGGCTCCTAACTTCAGCCTGGCTCAGTTCAGCCAAGATGTTGCAGGCATTTAGGAAATGAGCCAGCAGATGGAAAATTATATTTGTGCATACACATGTGAGTATGTTTGGGTATGTTTTTCTGCATTTCAATTAAAAATAAACTTTTAAAAATAATCAGTTTAAGAAATAATAATGGTAATAAATGACTAACCACTAACTCTACTCTCAGGTGCTAACAGAAATAAAAATATGTATCTGTACAAAACTTATGACAAATATTCATAATAGCATTAACCTTAATAGATAAAAGGTAGAAATAAGTCAAATATTCACGAACAGATGAATATCACATACACACACAGCAGAATATTATTTGACAAGAACAAGGAATGTAGTGGCTGGTATAGAACAGCAAATCAAGTCACAGTCTGAGATGCTGGCATCCCATGTTAGTGTGCTGTTTGGAATCCCCAACTGCTCCAATTCTGATTCAGCCCCCTAACGTGCCTGGGAAGGTAGTGGATGATATTCTAAGTGCTTGGGTCACTGCCTCCCATGTGGGAGATAGAGTCACAGGGGAGCACATGTTGCATGTCTGGTTTTTATGTGAAATAATTTAGGAAAAATATAAGAGTACTTCAACTTAATTCCACAAAATAATGGAATAAAAAGATAAGCTTATTTTGGTGCAAGAAGTTCAGAATGCATTTTCATAAACTTTTTGATAATAGTTAAGTAGATGAGTGATTGCTTAGGGCTGTGAAAAGGTATGGGGGCTGTAAAAAAATGATTGCCAAAGGGCATAGGGCTTCTTTTTAAGGTGATGAAAATGTTCTAAAATCAAGAGAGGTGATAATCATACAACTGTGAATACAATAAAATTCATTACACTTTACATCATAAATGGTTGAATTCTATAATGCATGAATTGCATCTCAATAATGCTGACACCAGAAAAAGCCCTAAAAATAACTACTCAACAGTTTTCTTAAGATTTTTATTATGTTTACAGGGATGTTAAATAGCTAATATCTTTTACAGTAAAGAAACATTTCTCTGAAGATTATCAATTCGTCTACTTTTGAGTGCTTCCTCAAATTCTAATAAAATGTAACAGAATAATTTTATTGTATTATGATCAAATTTTAAAAGTTTTCAGTCTATTCACTCAGTCATTTCTCTACTTATACACACATCAGATATATGAAATGATTTTCATATCATGTGAGACCTTGGATAGCAGGAAATTGAGTAATTTTTTGCTTTTTTCCCCCTTTGTTCCTATATTGGTCAAAGTTTTAATAATGAGTATGCGGCATTTTGATTCATCTTAAATTACTCTTATTAAAAAAACAAAGTATATTTTAAAATGTTAACATTGTTACAGCCTACATATGGGCAGTGGTGTTTGGAATGATGTTTTTCCTCTTTATTTACTCTTTTTTGTACTTTTCACTTTTTTCTTTAATACGCATCTATCATTTTAAAAACAGAAGACTTAAAATAATAAGAAGAAAATTAAAAGGATGCGGCAGCATCTGCTTGAAACAGTTGGCTCTTACCTGCGCTCCTTGTGCTGCTCCTGAATGATCTTTCTCCCAGGCCAGACGTTGCCCATTTGAGGCTGATGAATGAGGGGTTGCTCCACCGTCTCTCTTTTATTCACTTCAACACAAACAAAAGCATGTCAGGGTGGTGGTGATGAAGCCAGCGACTGGAAACAATTGTCCAAACTTGTCCCAGGACACACTACACATGTGCATACAATCCTTCACACCCCTTCCACCTCGAACCACTGAGCCCATACAGTTACGGCATCCCCAGACAGTATCCACTAGGATTCTACTCCAAAGGCTCCAGCACCATGGATAATTCCTGCCAGGAAGCATCTTTAGACGAGGTCAGTACCTGCAGGTTTGCGGCGCAGAGACATCCTGATTATCTCACTGCCTGTGCGGTAAGCAAAACGATTCACTTTCTGGTCATAAAACCAGTCTCCAGTTGCTTTCTTCAGCTCTCTAGGGGAGATAAAAGAAAACAGTAGATGGATAAAGAATGGCTCTTATCATCTATCAACAGAGGCCAAGAGAAGAAATTCTCATCACAGCCCAGGGTATCATGCCCTATCTCTTCAGCCATAAGTGACACTTACATTTCCTTGGCGCACACCTTGCACCTCCAGGTTCCATTGCTCTCATGGACACGGCAGTCCCGACACACCAGATGATTACAACCCCGACAAGTATTGGTCTTGGGAATAAAACGTCCCAGGCTCTCCTGGCAACGAGCACAGGTCCTATCACTGTAGTGTTGGCTGCCTCTCTTGGCTCCCTTCCTTTTTATTTCCAGCAACTCATTCTTCAGTCGCCTGCCAAGATCCAAAAGAGAAGCACATCTAGATTCAAGATCTGCACAGGTTGTCTGGATAGGGCTTGAGGAGTAAACACAGTAAAGCCATTCAGTTCTATTAAGGCAACAAACTCTGGGCCCCAACTTGACCCAATAAAGAATTGTTAGTGTTGTGTATATAATTTCTGAGAGTCAGATGGGTGGCATAAAGCAAAATCCAAACATCACTGGGATCCCCCCCCCCCACATGCTTTTTCTGAGACTCTTACCTAATCCTTTTCTCATCTGCTTTTCGGAGCTCCTCGTCTCGTTGTAGAACATCAAGGATCAAATCCCTTTCCATCTCCGACAGAAAAGACAGATCAAGCATCTCCGACATGATTTCTGGTTTTTTTTTCTTCAAAATAACCAGACAAGGATAGTACTGAGTTGCCTTCAATGAGAGAAGAACTAATTTCACAAAAATGGCTTGCACCAGACCAGAGTCACAGTCCTAAAAATCTTTCAGGGGACAACAGGCTAAAGAGACAAACAACAAGTATGGATGTATTTACCACTCCTACTTCACCTGACTCATGCCCTGAAAATTAGAAGGTCTTTCTTTTAAAAGAAGAAAAAGCTGTTCATTACTCTAGAAGAGAATTGGGTCTTTCAGCATAACCATATTATTCAGGAAAGAGTATAGAATTACTGACTCAAATTTCCCCTTCACAAAATGCATCCTCAATCATACAATATTTAGTTCTTAAAGTTTGTTCAACTCCCAAGTCTCTTAACCCAAATAATGAGATATTTGATTTCTGAAAGAGAGGAAAAAAGCACAAAAGGACTGTTGGCAATTTATACCCATTTTTCTTCATGACCAGTTTCCATGTTCCCAGGATTCAGCAAGTTTCCTGCTATACTTCAAACACTTACGCCACCCACTACATCAAACAGTAATCCTACTACATCAAATACATCCTTACTACATCAAATAGTAAATCCTATTTCCTCCACTTTACTAAACTAAGAGAAAGTAAAGAAAGTAAGCTCTTACTGTACTATCACTACCTGAAGGTCTGTCCCATTTCATAAACATCTGTCATGCCCCACTAGGACAGGCATTGTGCAAAGTATTTTGAAAACAGAGCTCATTAAGATACAGTTCCTGGGGCCGAGTGTGGTAGTCTAGTGGCTAAAATCCTTGCCTTGCAAATGCTAGGATCACATATGGATGCTGGTTCTAACCCTGGTGGCCCCTGCTTCCCATCCAGCTCCCTACTTGTGCCCTGGGAAAGCAGTCGAGGATGGCCCAAAGCCTTAGGACCCTGCACCCGCGTGGGAGACCCAGAGGAGGCTCCGGTCTCCTGGCTTTGGATTGGCTGTTTTGGCCATTGTGGCCATTTGGGGAGTGAATCAACAGATGGAAAATCTTCCTCTCTGTCTCTCCTTCTCTTTGTATTTCTGACTTTTCAATAAAAAAATAAAATAAATTTTAAAAATATATAGTTCCTGACACAATAAATTTAGCTACCACCTGCAATCCTGGCATCCCATATGAGTGCAAATTTTGAGTCTAGCTGCTCCACTTATGATTCAACACCCTGCTAATGTGCCTGGGAAAGCAGCAAAAGATTGCCTAAGTACTTGGAGGCCTAGATAGAGTTCCAGGCTACTGGCTTTGAACTGAACCAGTATCAGATATCACCTTGCTTTTCAAATAACTCTAAAACAAAGAGAGAAAATAGAGATTTGGTAGTCATTGAAGTCAAAGGGACCAGCTTAGGCAACATGAAAAAGAAAATGAGGATTGTACTTACTTTCCTTGTTCTTACCTTAAAACTAAAATCCTCTTTCACTTTATTTCTATTTTATTAATTACCAGAAAGACGTCTAAGAGCATAAAGAGTATAGCAAAGCTATACAGGTTCTTGAAACTTGAATGTTTTCCTATTTCCTTGGCTTTACTAAACTAAGAGAAAGTAGAGAAAGCAAGCATCTTTCAAAGGTCCTTGGATCATCTTCAGGAAAGCTTTTTAGTTCTTATCCACAAGGAAAACATATCAGAGTTCTGCAAAAGTTCATGAAAAATGCATATTACTGAAAACAATGCATGGATCTCATTTTTTTTCATAAAATGAACTTGTATATTAATTGCATTTTACATGAACTTTCTGAAGTACTCTCATATACTCTCTATGGACACAGGACTTTTTCAACATGTTTCTGCATCTCTGAACTAATAGATTATCTAGCACATACTATCACATATGCTCCCAATATTGGTGATCATCATAAATATCTATACCACAGCAATTTCACATATCAAGAATTTACTGCATTCTGGTAAGTGCCCTACAAATATGAGATAATTAACTTAATTTTTCCCAAACTGAGGGTGAGTAACAATTACTATCATCATTGTATTGATGAGGATAAGAAAAAACAACAAGTACACTAAGTTTCTGGGATTGTAATCTAAGCAATCTGATTCCAGAGCTGATGTCACACTGACTCCATTCCGGCAGAGTCATGACCAGGACAGCCATAAAACATTGAACAATCAGGGGCCAGCCCTATGGTGCAGCATGTTAAACATCTACTTGCAGCACTAGCAATCCATATGGGCATGAGTTTGAGTTCTAGATGCTCCATTTCCAATCAAGCTCCCTGCTAATGTACTTGGGAAACTAGCAGAAGATGATGCCCCAAGTACTTACTTCAGCCCCTGCACCCAAGTGGAACACCCAAAAGAAGCTCCTGGCTTTGGACTGGCCCAGTTCTGGCCTTCGTAGCTATTTGGGACTGAAACAACAGGTGAACAATGTTTCTGTCTCTCCTTCTCCCTGTAACTCTGTTATGTCTTTTCTCCCTGTTCATCCTGAACTCCAGATGGCTCAATACTTGAACCCCTCTAACTTCCATACCCATGTTTTATCTCAGCCATAACTACTCTTTGTGTGTGTGTGTGTGTGTGTGTGTGTGTATGTGTATCCCAAACCAGCCACATCTGCTCTCACATCCAAGTACTACATGGTTCCTAGCCTATAACTTCAGCTGAACTCTTGTTACCTATAAATCTTGTTACTTACATGTGTCCAGTTCCCTTACCTAGTGCTTTCATGTTTCATTTTCTTCTTTCAAATTTATTAATTTTTATGTATTTGAAAGGCATATGACAGCAAGTAGGGGAGAGAGGGAGGGAGAAAGAAAGACTTCCATAAGCTGACTAACTCCTTTAAAAATGCTCAAAAGCCACAAATAAGAATCTAGAACTCCATCCAGGCCTCTCACTTCGGTGGCAGGGACCCAAGTAGTTGAGCCTTAATCTGATGCTTTCCAATTTGCATATTAGCAGCAAGCAGAAGTAGAACTCAATCCCAGGCACTCCAGTATGAGACATGGGAGTTACAAAGGGTAGCTTAATCCACAAAACCACAACATCCATCCCAAGATTTGAAGTCTTCCTTTATCTCACATTCTCACTTCCTTTCTCTCTAGCCCCTTCAGCAGACATCATACTTGTAAAAACAATTTTTAAGTACATAAACAATAAATGTTATCAGTTCTCTGCTTCCTCTCTCCCATCACACAACAATCTGATTTCTTTCAGTACAGCTATATCCCACCCACACCCTCACCTTCCACCGCAGGCTGCTGCTGTTTCCAACACTAAGCATATTACAGCTAGCCCACTGAGATACGATCTTACAGAACAGTAGTGGCGAGAAGAAAACACAATAACAAAAATTAAAAAGCATGGAGCAAAAGCAAAATGTAGAAAAAATTGAGACAAAGAGAAAACAAAGGGTAAGCTAGTAGAAATAAGTTCATTTAGTATAAATATATATATATGAATATAAAACATATATTCAAGCATAAGTCACTCTTTAAAATGCACATTAAATGACTGGATAAAATAAAAGAATCCAGCCATGTTCCATTCATAAGGGACACATATATAAAGCATAAATTCAAGGAAAAAACAACTGCCAAAAATATGGGAAAAATACACCAGGAATTTCCAAAAGAAAGTCTAGCCAGTTGTTTCAATACATAAAAGCAAAATAATGAGATAATAAAGGCATTATAAAAGAGAAAGCCATCAGAGATAATAAACCTGCTTTTACTAATAAAACACTCCCTGTACAAAACATTAAGTATAACTAGAGGGAGAACTTGAAAAATCAACCTTCAAAATGGGACATTAATATTTCTCTAAATTACTGTTGTAATTATTAATCGTACAAGCAGGTAAAATGCTAGTAAATATATAGTTGTGTGTAACAGCAAAACGACTTTGATTTAATGGATGTATGAAGACTCCTATTCCAAATGAAGAATCTCATTATTTTTAAACACATATGGGGTCTTCTAGGTTGTAATACAAGTTTCAGGTTTATTTGCAAATGATTTTTTAAAATCCTTCCTATACAGACCATTCACTCTCTCTCCCTTGGTCTCTCTTTCCCTTTCTCTTGGTCTATAACTCTTTCAAATAAAGCTTAAAAATAATTGGTCTGACCTCAGTGGCAGCATAATGGACTTGTGAAATTTCACAAAAGACACCCATTGTAAAACTGGAGGGGAGGGAACTTGGGGAGGGGGAAGGGAGACCCCAGTGCCTATTAAACTGTGTCACAAAATGAAATAATAATAATAACAATAATAATAATTTTAAAACAATTAGTCTGTACCCCATAAATATGCACAATTACTAAATGCTAATTTGAAATATTTTTAAGTTCAAGGAGATGGAAATGCTAACTAACCTGATTTGATCATGACCCCATCAATACAGCTAAGATTATCCACTGTGTCCTGTAAGCATGTACAAATAAAATAGTATGCCATTGTGGGTGTTCTCAAAATGGAAGCTGATATGAATTAGGAAAACAACAAGTAATATCCCTGCCCTGGGGAGCAGGTACAAAGATTTTGCCTTGTTACCTCTGTTGAGTACACCAGCATCCCTCTCTGCCAAATGTGCCATTCTGCACATAAATGTGAATAATACTTGTACTCAAACTAGAAATTTCCTCTAGATGTGATCTCCTTGAGCACAGGTATTGCATCTGGACCTCATACCTCCTGGAGCTTAGCACAATGTCTGACACACAATATGAGACCATTAAAAGCTTTGTGAGTGTTGTCACCTAGAAATCTATTTTTGTGTTTAAACTTAGACCCACACTGGGACTGGCATTGTGGTGGAGTGCTTAAAGCCTCTGCCTGCAACCCCAGCATCCCATATAGACACACCATTTTGAAGCCCAGATCTTCTACTTCTAACCTGGTTCCATGTTAATGGCCTGGGAAGGCAGCAGAATATGACTCAACTGTCACCCACATGGGAGACCCAGATGAACCTCCTGGATCATGGTTGTGACCTGGCCCAGCCCTGGTTCAACCCTGGCCATTTCATCTTAAGTAGAACTAGTGGAAATGAAC